GCAATCTACTGAGGCCATCAGCATGGCCCATTTCTTTCCCAGGCTTGTGGAGTAATGAAAAATCATATGCAGACAAGAAAATAGACCACCTAAGCATTCTAGGGGAAATAATGTGGGGAGTCTGCTTACGTGTGGTAAACAGTCCCAGCAGAGGCTTATGGTCAGTGAAGACCGTGAAATGCCTGCCATATAGAAAATCGTGGAATTTTTTAATTCCAGCAACAACAGCCAGAGCCTCCCTGTCTATCTGAGCGTAGTTGCGCTCGGCAGAAGACAGTGTTCTGGAGTAGTATGCAATAGGAACCTGAGTTCCATCAGACCTGAGGTGACTCAGGACAGCTCCAACCCCGTAGGGGGACGCATCACAAGCGATGCACACAGGGAGAGACTCGTTGAAATGTGCAAGAACACTGTTAGAAGTGAGCAAGGCCTTGACTTCTTTAAAGCAAGCCTCATGTGCTTGTGACCACAGCCACACAGCTTGTTTGTCTAGTAGCCTGTGAAGAGGCTCAGCTACACTAGCTTTATGTGGAAGAAAAGAATTGTAGAAATTCAGGAGGCCTAGGAAGGCCTGAAGTTCGGCCTTAGACTTTGGCCTGGGTGCTTCTAAAATAGCAGTTAGTTTGGATTCAGCAGGATGAATCCCAGCAGCATCAATTTTGAATCCCAGAAATTCAGTAGAAGGCACCCCAATCTGGCATTTGTCTTTTCTGAGCTTGAGGCCTGATTTCCTGAATCTTAACAGGACAGCCCTAAGCCTTTCAGCTAGAATGTGTGTGGAGTCTCCTGCAATCAAGACATCGTCAAAGTAGGGGCAGACCCCTGGTATACCTCGTAGTGTGTTTTCCATTACGCTTTGGAAAATCCCAGGAGCGACATTCACTCCAAACTGTAGCCTTTTTACCTTAAAGGCTCCCCTGTGGGTCACAATGGTCTGAGCTATGGCAGCATCATCATCAACAGGCAGCTGTTGATATGCTTGAGCTAGGTCAAGCTTTGCAAAAACACGCCCCCCCTTGAGAGAGGCCAGGATGTGACTGACCACAGGAACAGGATAGGCATGTTGCTGCAATGCCTTATTGAGTGTGCATTTGTAATCAGCACAAATGCGAATGTCCCCATTTGCCTTTAGAGGCGTGACAATGGGGGTCTCCCACGGGCTGGAATCAACAGGTTCTAGGATTCCCTGTTGGATTAGTTTGTCTAATTCAGTGTCAATCTTACTTTTTAAAGCAAAAGGGGACCCTTCTTGCTTTAATCCTAATGGGAGTGACAGTGGGGTCTAGCTTTAAGGACACAGGTGGTCCTTTGAATGTGCCCAGCTGGGGGCTGAAAACATCTGCAAATTCTTTGCAGACTTCCTGTAGGTCGAGTGTTTGTAAGCTGTTGAGTCCTGTGACGTGTATCCCCAGGGCCTCAAACCAATCGAGTCCTATGAGACTCGTTCGTTCACCCCCTACTACTAATAAGTCTAGTGGACCTTCAAAGCTCTTGTATTGCACGTTAAGGGTGGCCTCCCCCTTAACACACACTCTTGAGTTCTGAAAATCTGTTAATACAATATCAGAAGGCCTTAACTTGGCCTTAGACCCACTACTGGAACAAATCTTCCTAAATGTATGCAATGAAATGATGGACAGGGCAGACCCTGTGTCTAGTTCCATAGATAATGGAACCCCTTGTAGCTTCACGTTGAGTGACAGCTTTTTCTTCATGGGCTTGTGTGTGCCTGTTCTACAGATGCTTCTTCGCGAAGCGCAAAACCCTACCCTATTCTGGCTGGGGAATCTGGTACCTTTCAGGCGTTCTTCTTGGGGTTGTGCCTTTCGTCGGCTCAGACACACAGCTGCAATATGCCCTTGTTTGCCGCATGCCCGGCAGGTAGCGGAGCGGAACTTGCAGTCGGTTCTCCTGTGGCGACCTCCACAGCCGATGCACTTGAGCGGAGCCGAAGAGCTTCCCTTCTGGTTCTCTTCCTTCGCGGGGTGTAGACGGTCGACTTCCTCGTCCGGATCCTCCTCGGAGTTTCGTCGGACGTCTTCCTGGTGCACGGACGCACCCTCTGCACTGTTTCTGATCGGCCGCATGTTTTTGATGGCGCCGCCTGCTGCTTCTTCTGCGGTGACTTCCCTTAAGGCGTCTTGGAAGGATAATTCTTCCTTTGCGAAAAGTCTCTGTTGTAGCTCGCGATGCCTTAACCCGCACACGAATCGGTCCCTCAGTCGTTCCTCGAGGTCCTTGAACTCGCAGGGCTTGGCGGCCTTCCGTAGCGCGGCGATGTATTCCTTGGCTGTTTCACCGGACCGTTGATCCCTCTGCTCGAAGGTGTGGCGCCATGAGATAACGGACAACTTGGGGTGGAAGTGCTCTTTCAGCAGCTTCTTCAGGTCTGCGTAGCTTACAGACTCTACTGGAACAGGTGCTACAAGATTTTCTGCGATTTCGAAGGCGTCTTGGCCGCAAACGCAAAGCAGGGTGGCGGCCTTCAAGCTATCTTCCTCACTTGGTTTGCCTTGAAGTAGTTCTCCATTCTGGATACGTAGGACTCCCACCGCTCTGGATGTGAGACGTCGAATTCCGAAAGCCTTCCGATTTTCGCCATCTTCGGATCTTCAGGAGACGGGTCTATCAGCCAGCCTACCCCCGAATGCGCACCGGATTGGCGGGTAGCTGCCGAGTCGACGCCGTTCCTCTTCCGCCGCTCAGGACTCCTTGGGTAAGCTTACACTTTTTCCTTTCCAGGTAGTGCAAGGCATCCCACCTTCGTCGCCAGTGTTGAGTCCGTGGCGGGAAAATAGACACGAGAAGCAGCTGGAGTTCTCAGTTTCTTTTATTCAGCGTTCAGCTTACAGGAAGATGGCTTCAGCCTCGCCCAAACGCCTCGCAGCCTCTTATATAGGCAACTCCCGGGTAAATGGGTTACTTTTCCCGCGCCAGCACCCGCGCATGCGCACGGCGCTGGCGACCGCCTGTCTGGTCCCGGGCAGCTTTGCACCTGCCCGGAACTGCCTGCAAACGCCCGAGCCGTTTGCAAAGGCTCGGGACATAACAGAAAGATTATAAAAATAAATTTTGAATTGAACCTAGAAGCATTTTATTAGCTATAATTTCAGAAAATATAAATGAAAAACATCCCAATTTACCAAGATATATGCTGACAGTTGCAAGAACAAATTGGACACAACAACGAAAAAGAGACATTTTGCTGATTACAAGATTGGGAGACCAAAATGGGAGAAAATGCAGCAATGGTAAAACTAGCAGTATGCAGCTATAAGAAAAGTTTAGCCATATTTAAGCATGAATGGCTCCCTTATATACCACACCTTACACAGCAAGGTAACTTTAGACATTTGGAATTTGGTTTGTAGGGAACAAAAATGAGACAGACAAAAAAACAACAGATGAAATCACTTAGAAGAGATTTGGAGAGCCGGTCTGATCTCGTGGTTAAGATACCAGACTTAGAGACCGGGAGTTCTAGTCCCTCCTTAGGCACAAAAGCCAGCTGGGTGACTTTGAACCAATTGCTCTCTATCATCCCAACCCACCACAGAGAGTTGCTGTTGTGGGGAAAACAGGGGGAGAGGGCTCTAAGTATGGGTGCCACTTTGGGTTATTTATAAAAATAATAAAAATGGGATGTAAACAAACAAATAGAACAGAGACTAGCAATAACCTTCAGTGTAGAGTACAAATATTTAAGTTGGGTTAGTAGTGGTGAAAACAAATGGAGAATACATTGCTAAAACATTTTCCATAATGCTTATAGTCATGCTCTATCTTTTCCTTCACTTTGTTCTTTGTATCTTTATTTTGGTGTAATGTTCTTACAATTTTACTAAAAAGTTAATAAAAAGAAAAGAAAGAAAAGGCATTGCTATAGGAGAAAGGACCAAAAATTGATAGAAAACAACTAGGTGATGAGCTATCTGGGATTATACCCTGTACTTTTTCCTGGTTGGTTGACTAAATCACAGTTAGCTGCACTATAAGCAATATGTCATTGATTACAAGGGTGGGATTCAGGTTGTGTTGGCCAAACCCAATAAAATTATGCCCCAGTGTTCTGTGAAATCCTAATTAAGACATATTGCATGAAATCTGAGGCCAAGCTATTCCAGGTAGGAGACTCTGGAAGGAGAAATGGGGAAATGTTCTTCTAGAAAATTTGAAGCAGCTTGATTAACTTCTTTCTCTGATTCGTTCTGAAATTATTGCTTGTTTTTGAAAAGCAATTAATATTTTTGAATGCTTTTTCCATGATGTTTTGGAAAAAAAATACTTTCCACTTTATAAAAAAAATAAAGTTGCACCTTTTTCTACAAATAATATTTGCATATGTTACCTAGAGTTGATTATCTAGAAATAATTTTATTGAAATGCATTACTGCTCACCATGATGAACCTCTAAATGAACTTCAGTAGTTGGATTTTAGTTGTTGGACTTCAGCTCCAACATTGCCCAATGATTGCTCTGGTTGATTGGATAAATTATTTCTTCTTCTTCTTCTTCTTCTTCTTCTTCTTCTTCTTCTTCTTCTTCTTCTTCTTCTTCTTCTTCTTCTTCTTCTTCTTCTTCTTCTTCTTCTTCTTCTTATTCTTCTTCTTCTTCTTCTTCTTCTTCTTCTTCTTCTTCTTCTTCTTCTTCTTCTTCTTCTTCTTCTTCTTCTTCTTCTTCTTCTTCTTCTTCTTCTTCTTCCCTTCCTTCCTTCCTTCCCCCTTCCTCCTTCCTCCTCCCATATTTATAGTGCCCTTGGAGTGAAAGACTCTTTCAGTTATGGATTGTCCTCTGTGATCTAGAATATCTGGTTCTCCACGAAGGTCTGTTTTACAATATCACACTGGAAACTAGTTCTCACAGACTGAGGTTCTCATGATGTACATTGCTCCCACATTTTGCTTCCTTAATGAAAGCCAGGAAAAACCTTCCTCTTCATGCGTGGATCGCGTGCGGTCAACAGAGCAGGGAGTGCTGATTCCTTGTGACAGCTGCTGCTAAGGCAAGCAGTGGCAGGCTCATCATTGGGCAGGAAGGGAGGAGGGCAAAATGAAAAAAACATCTCTTGCACACAATCGTCCAGCGTTATTGCTGGGAGATGATACGCAAGGACCGGGATCTTGAGCGGTATGTACATTTATATCCATTGCCTTAACATCGGAGGAAGAAATAAAGAGAGAGAAGATAGTCAGTTGGAGAATGCTGAAGTTGGTTGAAAACACTAGGGAACCAAGAGAGAGTGATGGCGGCATTCCACGTACCATACATTTCAGGGAGTTCCCCTGTTTTAGACAGAGATGAGCATGAGATGCTCATTAAACTAATGAATAACTCAAACAACAACCCATGCAATTAGCGTCACGTCTTTTGCCAGAAGAACTTTGGGGTCACCAGAACAGTGGTCTATGCAGTCAAGTCCTGCAGACCATTTCACTGCCAGATACCAAAGAATGTTCGCTGTGCTTCCCTTCCTCTTGTCATGTCCTAAGCTTCTCCTTTTCCTTCTACAGCTTGATTCTGCCTAAATAACTCAAAAACCCACAAGAAGAGAGTTAGGAAGGGGAGTTCTCTCTCTTTTCTTCTACTATGATCTTCCGTCTCCGACGCCTGACCCCAGGATACTTTCGGCTGTTGCAGGTAAGCAGAATTTCCTCCTCTATTAGAGATCAGAGTGATAGAAGGACAGAAGACAGATAGGAATTATCTTGCTGGAAAATCCTGAATAATCATTCAGTAACAGATGTCGTATGAGATGGCTGGATGGAGTCACTGAAGCAGTAGGTGTGAACTTAAATGGACTCCAGAAAATGGTAGAGGACAGGAAAACCTGGAGGAACATTGTCTATGAGGTCGCGATGGGTCGGACACGACTTTGCAATTAACAACAACAACAAACAGATGTCATAATTCAGAGGGGCCTTAACAATCCAGGAAAAGACAACAAAGAATTTTTTTTAGCAGGGTTCCCTCTTTTTCTCATGTTCAGGCTATAAGGACAGATCCTACTGTAGCCTAAAACATCCGGGAACAAGGGGAAAGTCTTCAAACCTATAGAAAGATCAAGGTCTGTAGAAGAGTAAACCTGGTTAAGTACATGCTTAGGAAGAAACAATCTTCAGGTATTGCTATGGGGAGAGACGAGGAAGCTAGCAGTGGTGACTTGGTGGTGAAGGAAGGTTGACATCTAAAAGTGGAATGAAAATCTCATGAAAAGAGGGGATAGGATGGAATCCCTGGAATTCAAAACGGGGACTTCTCTGCACTGCAGCATTTTGCTATGGAACCTGCCAGGTGCCAATATGTGTTGTTTTGTGAAAAAAAAAAAACCAACCACTTTGCTGTTAGATGGAGTTCCCCATTTAAATCAAATTAAAGTCTAGTTTGAAGATAAGCAGAGCAGAGGTTCAGAAAAAAGGGCGGTAAAATGGGGCAAAACTTACTTAATAAATGTCTCACTTAGCAACAGAAACGTTGGGCTCAGTTGTGGTCGTAATATAATGAATATAACCCTATATTCATTTTGTAGGGTTGCCCATCTTAACGAGTGAATTTGGGCCAAGTACAAAATTAAAGTAAAAACAATTGCAACAATACAAAAATTAAAACACACAGCAGTCGAGAAAATAAACAATAATACAAGGAAAAAGTGGGTCCCTGCACACACACTTGAAGCCAGGTCTTTAGGGCCTTATGAAAGTGCTATGGGCATCCCACTGATCCTTGCAGAAGAGAGTCCATGTGCAACGCAAACCTGAGTGGATTTTCTTACGAGTAGGTTCCCCTGAGTACAGTAAAACTTCTTTCCTAATAAGAAGGAGGCAAAACTCGCTTGTTCATATTTTAATGCAAAGGTACTAAAATCATAATTGCTCCAGCTTTAGGCAATGTGTAAGGCAATTATTCCAATTATTATTATTACTGGTGTAATGGTTTAAGGTGCCAGGGCAGAACCCAGGAGACTATGAGTTCTGCTTCTGCCTTAGGCACAAAGCCAGCTGCATCACCTTGGGCCAGTCCCTATCTCTTAGTCCTAGGACAGGGGTAGGCAACCTTGGTTCTTTTATGACATGTGGACTTCAATACCCAGAATTCCTGAACCAGCCATGCTGGTCCAGAAGTCATAAAAGAGCCAAGGTTGCCTACCCCTGCCCTAGGAAGAAAGCAATGGTAAACCATTTCTGAAAATTGTAGTAACTAGTCCAAGCATTCATCAGGAGTCAACACTGAATCGAATGCGTACACACATACAAACACATGTACACCACGACAGCTTTTGGAAGACTGTGCCTATCATGTGTTTTCTCAAAGTCCCAAAAGTAATTTGGGGCACCAGGTAGATTCCGTCCCAAATGGTTGCATCTCTCTATTTTTAAATTTTAATGTACTTTCCATGAATGTATTTTCCTACAGATGCAGCTGGCCAGTGGCTCGGAATCAGAGTCTGAAGATCGGCTGATGAATCATTTGGCCCTGATCTTAGCCATTATGGGACTGAGCCTTTCTTACTACAGTGTCCGGCAGCTGTCTGAAGAGATCAAGCCCCCACCAGAACCTTTAGGCCCAGATACCACCAAACAGGAATGACCCAGACCACTGAAGATGGCAGAGTCTCTGGTACTGTATTCAACCTGGGGACTCATGAACGTATATCTGGTGGAGTTTGTATGCAGCCTTTAGTCAGGTACATTACAATTGCACTGCCTTTTATATTCTTCTCCTATAATGGAAGGGTAGTCCTTGATACTCTTTTCCTCTGCGCTTGCTCGCTTTTCTGGATTCTCACCCAAAAGGATAGACCCCAATGTTTTCAAACCTACACCATTCCCTTTCAGTGGAGCCATCACCTACAAGGCTGCAGGCTTTCACACAACTGTCTTGTCTGAAGATCTGGTTGGTTCACAAGGCTCTCCCTGGATCTCACCCTGCTTTCTTGATTCATAAAGAGCTTTCTGTCTGGCTGCATCAACTTTCAGGTAATTTAATCCCTAAGAAATTTTAAAACAAATAAAGAAACAAACAAACAAAAAATCAGGATGAGGGAGATAGAGTTGAGTAGTCTGAGGAAACCCAGTAATTGTCTTAGCATGTTGTAGGATACGAACAGTGGAATTGTTGTTCAGTAATCTGGAGTTAAGATTTAGCATCTTGTATGAGTCTCTCAAAGAGGAGGAGAAGGGCCTTCAGATTATGGGAGATTAACATTCCACAGAAATAATCTGAGTTGATATAGAAGGGTTAAATGGAGGCAAACCCATGTAGAAGACGGATCCTATTCTGCATTGATACTGGCAGCCCAAGACCTCCATAAGGCTCTTGCCAGGCCTCTCCATGACATCCAGAGAGGGATCACCTTACTTTAAGGGAGGACCATTTTCTCAGGTAGAACCTGAAACTCATTCGTGGAAGGCTATGAAGTAAAGTCATTGGAAAGGCATGGTCAAATTGGGAGGAATTTGTTTTGTATTTCCGAAAGCTGGAAATTACGATATCTGTGGGGTGCGTGTCAAAAGGTCAATATGATGATTATGTAATCTAAGCCCTAGTCATTTTTTACAGGCATTGAAGGTACAATAATAATTTAAAAGAGGGGGCAGGGCTTTGATCAAAGAGTCACAGCCATCACCTTGACACCTTGGACACCTCTTGTGGGAAAAGGAAGCCCTTAAGAAGCAAACCACTTTCCCATTTGCATGTGTAATCAGCTCCCACCTCAAATCCCCCATTGCTCCAGATCACCTGGACCTCTTATACGGGCACAATATACCTATAGCTTCATTAACATTTTTCGAAGCTGTGGCTTAGACACACGCTGACTGGATCGTATTGCTGCTTTGCTGCTGCAGTCTTCAATAGGTGGATTGGGAACTACGTCTCCATCCAGTGAATGGTGTTTTGGCCAAAGCTGTGCTTCTGCGCGTCCCTTGAGATTGTTTGGAGATGGCTTCACTTGATCTCTTGACCCATAGGTCCATTTTTCTTTATTTTCTACTCAACATGCGTACGTAAAAGGCAAAGGGTCATGAACTGTCATCCAATGTGAACTGAGGAGGGAAAGGGAAAAAGATGGACAATTAGAAAATAAAATCAGATAAAGCCTGGGTTCTGTGTTACCGATGGAAACAGAATTTCTAGGAAAACCTTCTTGTGGAGTTCTAAAGAAAGAGGTTTCCAAAAGGTCATTTCCTTCCTTCTAATCTATGATGAAAGGGAAATTTGAGGAGAAGGGAAAGAGAAGAGAAGGTCAGAACAGCAGAGCAAGTGATTGTGTAACGTTCCTGTGGCTTTAGGCAGAAAAGCTGCTTTATGGGAGACTGCAGACTGCCGGCATTGCATCAGAGAACATGTGTCCAGACATCTGTGACCTAAATAACATTAAACTAGTGATTAGAATGGAGACTGGGGATTCAGAAGAATATTCTTCTTTCAATTAGAATAATGCATCAACAGGGGAAGGGGAATGAACAGAAAGTTGGCTGTATATTTCTTCTCCTATAATGATTTTTTAAAAAAAAACCTCCCATATCAGGACAATTATGCTGAAGGTCAGCTATGACTGAATGGGTGCAGCCAAGCCAGAGATCTTTGCAAATATTATACAGAAATTTATTTTATTGGCAGTGATGAGCTACCTTTCAATATGTAACTGCTGGGGACTGAGTCTATTCTCCATGGTAAGCAAAGCAATTGCTTTCTCATCAAAGTTATGATTGCTGCCTAAAAACCACTTTCATGCAGGATCTCCTGTTGTATCTTTCCATCTCAGACTCTTACTATTCATGCCAACATTCCCAAGAACCTACAACCCCAACCGTCAGCTTGGTTACTACACCCAGTACCAAAAAACTGAGATGGAGCATTTTGCATATACTTGCAGCAAGAGGTCTCTACCCTTGTACTTTACCAAAAACTCTGTTTTAAATATTCTGTGTCATTTGGGGACCTCTCAAAAATTAATCCAGACTTTGTTGCATGATTGTTGACCATGATCAACAAATGTTGACTTGTGTCCCTAAGAATTGCAGTTGTTAAAAGCTATTTTTAATATATATATATATTCTAACTTATGTGAGTACAAAGTAATGTTTGAAATGCCTAATAAAATATTTTAAAGCAGAGGCTAACACCAGGGATTTTCTGTCTTGTGTAATTCCTTGCCTATCTCAATTCATGACTCACAAAAAAAGGAATTGCTGTATATTTAATAGGACATGTGGGAAGACAGGTTATGTAATGCTTTATACAGGCTGTTGGGTTTTTCTGTTGTACAGCTAAATGCTAAATATTTTACTCTGAGCAAAAGCTATGTGGAGTGGAGAACTGGAACACCCTTGTTTTTCTTAGTTTGCACCAAAAAAAAAAAAAAAACAAAAATCAAGAGCGAACAAAGTTTTGAACGTTACATTCCGAGAGCTCAGTTTTGCATTAATCTGATGCTGCAGGGTAAACACCGGCATTTAGAGCATGCTATAATTGCCTGTCTGGCCCCAATTCCACAACAGGGAACATGCCCAGTAAAATTTACATAGATCATACCCAGCTGTCAAGGGCAGGAAAATCAGAAATCCAGGCAGTTCAAAGGAATATAAAGATTTATTGCAAAATCTTATGCTCTCTACAAAAACTACTAACAGTCAAAGCAGATCGGTGGTAGATAAGGGTCAATGGAATCCAAAGCGGATTGGACTTAGATCTCTTTTGGGCACTAAGGAATTCAAGACTGATGATGCTTTTGATCCCTTCCCTCTGGATCTTTACAATTCATAAGTGCTTTGTAAACAACATGTTGTCTGGTCCATTTGTTTTACTTAATAATACACATTAAATTCCTAATCTCTACCCCGTTTTTCCAGCCAATGATAAAATACATCCCATATTTGAAAATATTCTGTTTTCTTTTTCTTTAATCTTCAGTGTAAGTCTATCCATTTCTGCACAGTCCAGTATTTTCTTGATTATCTCTTCTTCAGATGGTGTTTTATTTTTCCAATACTGAGCAAATACAATTCTTGCTGCTGTAATACATGCAACATTAAATATACACTTTCTTTATGATATTTTCCTGATACTATACCTAATAAAAATAGTTCCGGTTTAAAATCTACATGTTTTCTTAACATCTTATTTAACCAGACCTGAATTTTTGTCCAATTTTTTTTTTTTTTTTTTTTTGCTTTAAGGCACGTCCACCGAAGATGGTAGTGCATGCCTGGTTTTTGATTGCACTTCCAAGTTACTAGACATGTTTTTAAACATTTTTGCTAATCTCGCAGGTGGTGCCTGCCATCTATAAAACTTTTTATATAAATCATCAAGAACTGGGTTCTTGAAGATTTAATAGTCATGTTTTAATGCACCAGGCTACAAACCTGGAGAGTGTGAATTCTAATCCTGCCTTAGACATGAAAACTGGCTCGGTGACCTTGGGCTAGTCCAGGGGTAGGCAACCTCGGCTCTTTTATGATTCATGGACTTCAACTCCCAGAATTCCTGAGTCAGCTATGCTGAAAGTTGAAGTCCATGGGTCATAAAAGAGCCAAGGTTGCCTACCCCTGGACTAGTCAGTCTCTTTCAGCCCAAACTCACAGGGTTGTTGTGGGGAAAATAAGCATTAGATATGTTCGCCATTTTGAGTTCCATAAAAATAAAAAAGGTGGGGTATAAAATAATTAAATAAACAAGAAACATCTTCTTGTTGAATTCTCAAATTGGCCAGCAACTCAACCCATTCAGCCTGATGGATTTCTAACCAGGTTAAACTCTGTTTAGCAGTTTGAGAACAAACAAGCTTCATTGCTGCCACCTATCTGAGTGTCTTATGCTGCCATTTCCTTAATAATAATGTTCATTAATAATAAAGTTAATTGATGTTAATTAATATGTGGTCTGTAATTTAATTCTACTTTTCCTGTGCAAGCAATCAGATTAAACTCCTGACTCTTGTAACCAGAGCTTTGTATCTACAAAAAGGGGGTCCCCAAATAGCTATTGGGTCTGCCCCTCCCATTGCTTGTTTCAGCTTTACTTTCCAGGCAGCCTCTAACAGAAGGACCCATATAGGCCAGCGTACAACAGCCTCCAAGAGAAAAGCTGTATTCTTAATTTATGCAATGCCAGATTAAGCTAAAAAAATCTACATAGATTTGTCTTAGCACAATGTGTCAAGGGAAACCATAAATGTTTGGTTTGAGCACAGCATGTTACGTGAACATAATTATGCACTCTGAACCCATATTTAGGGTTGCAAAATCTTCCAAGGATCTTATGCAATAGGTTGGTGTATTTACCCCAACGCAACTAGCAATGCCTTCATCTCTGAAATAATATTCCTTAACCAGGACTAGAAAATTCAAAAATGCAGAATGTTGGGAGTGTAGAGGGAGATAACAGAATTAATCACTGCAAGCAATAACCAAAATTCAGCTTAGCACTTTGTCTCAATCACACGGCAGAAGGGGAGTGCAGGCAGTAATGATGAAAAACTTTTTTCTTTCTTCTTCCAAAGAAAAAGCATTTAGCTTTGCTGATTCAGAGCTAACAATATGCTGCTTCAGCAGATGTCAACAGCTAAATGTGCACCCTGTGATGTCTGACTAATGTAGCCAAGGATTAATTCTGTTCCCAGTGTGTTGTTTAGATCATCTAAATATTTTAATGGAACAAATCCTCTATTCAATGGGAATGCGAGATGTGATCTAGAGCACTCATCTAAACTATAATTTGGTTTGCTTTTGGCTTATGCAAATCCATCCCTCTGGCTTTGTGTTATTTGAAAACTATCTTAAGAGTGCTCATCATACCACAGCAGAAAATACATCAATGCGGTTATTTGTGAATAACCATGGTAATACAACAAGCACAAGAATACTTCCACATGGCCTAGAATGTGAATGAATAGAAAGAATGTCCTGGGGAAATGAGGAGGGGGGGGGATATGTGGAATCTTTGATTATTTTAATTTTTTTCTTTGGATGCTGTTAGTTCTTTGAGCTAGGACAGGCTAAGTGTCAGGCACAAATAATCAGAAGCATTCACTGAGTTCAAAGCACAGAAGAGTGTATTACTCTATATAAGAATCTAGTGGAAGTGCAATGACTCCAAACGTATGACATGTTTAACCCAACTTTCCAACTCAGCCTGCACTTCTACAGCAGGAGTCTCCAAAATTGGCAATTTGGGAACTTCAACTCCTAGGATTCTCCAGCCAGCATATATATATATAAAAAAGAGGATTCATTGAATGTTACTTATCATTGTAAGGTATATTAAAAGAATCTTGAAAGCCAGTCCAAGAATATCTCAGTCTTATATCAAACAAAATCCAAGTCTGGCTGAGTTTCTTTCTCATCATTTCTTCTTTCTCTGGGCTGTTTAATCATCAAGTCCTCTTTAATGGTTTGCTCATTCCTTTGAAATTCCTTTACAGATCCCAAAATTGACCAACCAGATATAAAATCAAGGCAACAGAAGCTGGATAGGAAATGCTAAACAATGCAATTATTTATGCAATTAATAAACCACAGGCTGCAACGATCGGAGAAAGCTTCACGTGAGACGGTTATAAGTAGCAAATTTAATACAACTTTATGAGGCAAAAGTTTGGTTCTGGCAGATCTCCACATCCCACATCTTGGAAAATAAACCACTTGTAGTCAGGAAATCAACTCAGCATATTGCAAATGTGTGAGTACATCCCAGAATCTATCTTCCCTACTCCAGGTTGGCATTGTATATCTCCACTTTGTAAAAAGAAATTTCAAATTTCATTCTCCAAATACTTCACTTCCACAAAACTTAGAATATTGATTTTGGAGAAAATGTTCCAAGGAAAAATGATATAGAATTACCAAATTGCAAAAGTTATATAAATTAAAATGTAAATTTTTTTTGGCAGGAAAAGATTTTTGTGTAGATGAAGGGTGATCAAAGTGTGCAACTGGTAACACTGAACTAGAGATAAGTAAAATTCAAAAAAAGGAAGACTTACTTTGCTGAAGTTATAATTGTAGCCTATTAACCCTAAACTGAATTGTGTGGTCATATACACACTACACTTTTTATCTATAGCCATGATGCACTGTTGTCTTGTTAAATTATTTCCAGGAAGGAATCGCATTTACTGCCTATTTCCAAATAATTATGCATTGTCTCATTTCAAAGATTGGATTGGAAACTGGGATCTAACTCATTTCTCTGCTCTAAGTGAGAACAATGGTTTTAATCAATCATGCAGAAAAGCAACAATAGCAATAGCATTTAGATTTATATACTGCCTCACAATGCTTTACAGCCCTCTCTAAGCGGTTTACAGAGTCAGCCTATTGCCCCCAACAATCGTGAGTTCTCATTTTACCGACCTCGGAAGGATGGAAGGCTGAGTCAATCTTGAGTCAGTCAGGATCGAAGGAATCGAACTCCTGGAGTGAACAGTGAGTTAATAAAGGGAGATTGCAAGAGAACGTGTTTCATGGCTGGCTGGGGAATTCTGGGAATTGAAGTCCATACATCTTAAAGTTCCCAAGACTGAGAAACACCGTTTTAGTCATTTGAATCAAGCGTATTTACTGTGTTTTAATCTTAGTGTGGGAAATGAGGAATTAATTTGCTTAGAATAATTGCTAATAGGAGTGGCTTACAAGTGTCAAGAGGTAACTAAGGAAATGAAATTCTGATCTGTCCACTTGTTCACACTATCTGCAGGGCTCTTGTCTTCTCCCAGGTGTTAATCATGGCTACCCAGTCATCAAGAGGTGGTTCACCTCTACCATTATGTTTTGAAACACAATTCTGAACCAATATTCTATCCCTGAACCAAATGTATCTTCCTTCCCCAGTGATTCATCAGTAGCACAGACTTGTAACACGCCAATTTAGAGGATTCCCCCACTAACAACCGGTCTTTACTTCCAATAAATGCAAATTAAACCAGGGAAAGAAAATGGACTTTTCAGTTTCTAGGCAGGCTGAATGAGAGATTCTGATCCGTGCCATCGATGTGATTTTTAAAAGTTCAAACAAAGTCAAAATGGCATCAGTTGTTCCTTTTTTTACCAGTTATAGAAAACATCCTTCAATACATTCAAATCAAAACCCCAAAACAAAATAGGCAAGGATTAGCCAACAGATTGTCAGCTCATTTATTAAGTGGGCTCAATGGAAGAGTGGAACATTAAGAACAAAAAGCTCAAGTCCACAGTCACATTTAAAACCACTGTAAGAGAATCAAAAGCAAGTTCATTTGAGCAGCATGGCTCCTGCCTCTGACCCGCTGCTGAATTCTAATCCATACCGAACAGGGGTAAAATGTCTTTTTTCCATCCAAGAGGGTTGATCTTTCTCATCTGTATATACATTTCAGTATTAATACTGCAAAACTAATGCAATAAATAATAGTACAATTTTAAAGATAGCATACTCCAAACCACCTAATTATACCGATGCTTTTACTATCTCCAGATTTTTCAGATGGGGACAAAACATCCTTGTGTCTTAGCTGGATTCATCCATCTCATCCAGAGGTTGTGTGTGGACTTCAATTTTCTTGGGAGCAATGTAGGACCCCATTCCTGCAGCCCTCTCAGCTTCCTCCTGGGTGTAGGGCTCCTCACTCAACTGTTTCAGTCTTAAAAAAAACAGAAACAAATCCAAAAGTTTTGCAAATGCTGATATTCCAGTTGATGAAGGACACAAAACCTTAATGGAATCCCATCTTCTTTGCATTGGAAGACATTCCGATTATATAGTTGGTAGATATATGCGACAGGTAGGACATTCAGAAGAGATAGTCCAGGTCAGTGATGGCAAACCTTTTAGAGACCGAGTGCTCCAAACTCCCACCACCACCCCCATCCTTGCTCCGCCCTGCCCACTGGGCCACCCACCAACTCCACAGCTCACCACAGATCACCCAGGCAGCCCAGCAGCGCCATGGCGGCCATGCCCTCCGCCCATGCCTCGCAGCATCATCTGCGCGCAACGGGGCACAAGGGCAGAGTCTTGTCCCTGCTGCCCAGCTACCATGTCCTTGGCTGCGCTGCTTTGCGTGGGCCTCACCCAGGGGCAACTCTCCTCTGGGGGGACTGCTGGTGAGGAGGGGGCCGTGGGAGGAGGTGGGGCTGGGGAGATGGTGCATGTGCCCACAGAGAGGGCTCCGAGTGCCGCCTCTGGCACCCGTGCCATAGGTTCGCCACCACCGGTCCAGGTTCAAGAAAAGAAGGGTACCCCCCCCAATAAATAAAATTAACATTACCTCTTTTTGTGAACTTTTGATCTGAAATGATCCTTCATACCTTTTAAGTCAATGAAATATCGCCTAAGAAGAGACAAAAAGAAACAAGCTGGAAGCTGGTGAAAAGTCAGTTGGGCCTAGTGATTTAGTTGTTGGGCAGGGAAAGCTAAATTCTAGTCTTTAGAAATAAACCCCAATCAAAGAACTGCCGAACAAACTAACGATTAACAACCCAAAGACCCTCTACCACTCCCACCAAAACTGAGAAGACAAGCCACTAGAATATAAAATAGAGCAAACCCCACTCCCTGCTAGCTCTGATGATGATACCTAGTTTGGGTAATAAAATGTCTGCCAATATTCAAGCTCAAAGAGCACTAAGGACCCCTCATTCCAGTCTTTCTTTAGTGCATGACTTAATTAATTTGCAGAATTATGCCTTTTGAACCTTAAAAGAGCGCTGTGCTACAGGGTTATCATGAGCTGCTCCCATTTATATACCTTTCCCTAAAATGTAAATAATGAGCCCTACAGGACCATCAAATAAAAATTTTAAAATAGTGACCAGATTTGGGCTGCAGTTTAAAAAACAACCTCTCTTATCTTTTCTCTCCCCCTCCCCTCCCCAAAAAAACCCGAAAGAAAACATAAGAGCTCAGCTTCATCTTTGCTCCCTTTGTCTACAATTAGGGCTCCAGGTTTGGATTGCAAAAATCTGGATGGGATGGCAAAGTAATGCAGAAATCTCTGGCTCTTTGTTATCACCTAGCAACTGCCTAAGGGTTTTTTTTTTGCATCCTAATTAGTTTAATTTTTAACCCCATAAAACAGAACTTCTTCAGCTCTTTCTTTGAAAGAGAAAAAAGCAGATTCTTCACTTTTCCAACATACATTCTGCAGCTAAAATCTTACGTTTTGATAGGCAATTCATTTATGTCTAAAGTAGCATTTTTCAAAATTGGCTACTTTAAACTGAGGATTTCAACTTCCAGAATTCCCCCAAAAAACCATGCTAGCTGGGGAACTTTAGGAGTTGAAGTCCACACCTTACCATTGTCAAGACTGAGAAACACTGGTCTAAAGGGACATAAAGTTTTCTATCCCACAACCGAGGAAGTTGGTGGTTCTAATTCTTATCTCTATATGCAAGGGGTATTCCACGGGGACCAACCCGTTCCCCTCCCACCGCCTTGACGCACGCGCAATGCAGGCAGTAATGCTGGGCATTGCCAGGCAGGTCGGGATCCAGCTCTTGGCGCAGCAGCTTCGTCGCGTTCTCGGGCAACATGTCGTGGTGGATCTGATCCAGATCTCGTCGCCGTCTCTTCGTTTTCCACTGGCGGGCCAAGGAATGCGCCTTATGCGAACCCGTTCGACGGGAGCTCTTGGGAGCCATATCCCAATTCCGACGCTCGCCGGGGAGAGAAAGGAAGCTTAACTTCCGCTTCCCATAGGCGCGCGTGACGTCATCTCACGGCGCCACCCTCTGGGCGTTTTCAAAACAATTTCAGTATGAATGAGATGAAGTTCGGTAGCCAATCATGGTTATGAATGAAATGACTAATGGGAGCACCAAGGAAGCATAACTTCTACGAATATATTTCTAGATATTTAATATGTATTTCTAAGTTTCCACAATTCATCTGAATGTAATAGCTGGAAAAATAAATGACATAAATTAACCAAGTGTTTGCAAAACTTGGCAGTTTTAAGATGTGTGGACTTTTAACTCCCGGAGCTGACTCTGGCTGGGGGTATTTTGGGAGTTGAAGTGCACATGTCTTAAAGTTGCTGAATTTGAACAACACTGAACTATCCTAACATCAAATATTAATGGTGCATTTCAATTAAAAGCCTCATCTGCAAAGATACAAAAGCTTGCAATTTAACCAAATTCAGGGAAAAGCAGTTATAGTGGATTAACAAACAAGCAACATGACCTAAAATAAATTAAAGGACTAAAAATCATACTCCTTTGTTGGATTTAGAGCATGTACTGTATTTCTGCTACAGAACGACATTCAAAGCTGCTGGCAATTACATTTATTTAACATAGTGTTAATTGGAAATACTGGTGTGTTCTTAAACATAAAAGTGCCGTCTTGACTTAAGTGACTTGGCAGAATCATCACTGCGCTCCCTTTTTCCAGGATATCTTAATATGATCCTGTTCTCCCAATGCTAAGAGTATTTCGGTAGCACAAGTATTTCCAATTTCCACATAAAACCATTTGAAGTCCACTTATAATCAGTTTTTTTAAGATTCTGAATGCATGATGTGGAATATATCTTACAGGTCATCTACTCCAATGTCTCCCTCAGGGCAGTAATCCACTAGAATCTAGTGACTAGATTATCCCCCAAAGCTCCGCTGTTTTTAATAGAGGAAGGCAAGAAAGAATATTAATGTCCTGTCCAGAGAACCACCACCAAAAATCTACTTACCTCCATTCCATATGAAAAGACATATTTCTAATTCCTCTATCTATCAATAGATATGTCTGCATGCATTTCTGGTTGGTTTAGTGCAGTGATGGCGAAACTTTTAGAGACTGAGTGCCCAAACTGCAAGCCAAAACCCACTTATGCATCGTCGAGTGCCGGGTGGGTGTGGCCCATTGGGTGGGCATGGCTGCGGTGGTAACGGAAGACTGGGTGGGACTAAAAAGTTCAATCAATCAATTCCAACTTTGCAAGATCTTTTTTTTCCCGCGAGAAGTTGAAATTGACTGAACCTTTTTTTTTTTTTTTTTTTTGCACATGGCAGCGGAGGCCTAAAGTGAAAAGATTTTATAAAACCCAACTGAAGGCCTAGGACTGGGTCGACAGTGCGCGTGCCCACAGAGAGGGCTCTGAGTACTACCTCTGGCACCTGTGCCATAGGTTCGCCACCACTGTTTTAGTGCATTTATTACATTTTATTATTTGTTTTGACAAAAAAATTGTTAAACTGATACTAGGTAGAAGTTGTTAGTTCTGCTCTGTTGCTATTTGTTAAACTTCATGTTTCTTCTTGTAACACTTCTGTTGTTAGCAACTATGTATTTATTATATATATTGTAATGCAGAGGATTTTTTAAAAAATAAATAAATAAAACTAATAAGAGTTTCAGCCTTTATTTCTTGATCTGATTTGCAGGTCGGATTCTACCGTCCTTAGAAAAGAAAAAACAGTGACTTGCCAGCTCTTTATCCTTCTGTGGAATTCCACTTTAAACCTTTAAGATGAACATAATTAGAATGTAATTCTATCCCATTAAGAGGTTGTGTTGTAGTTCACCGTTGTTTAATGTTTAGTCACAAAAAGTGACCCTTTGACCTAAGGCACTATTGTGGTTTGTGTGTATGTGCTTTCCTAATGTCCAGCTAATCCTCTGTGAAGGAAATACACATCCTCAGGATTCCTCATCAAGATATTTTATAAGCAAAGAATAATAACCCCTCTGGCCTGATCAGGTTTCATTTGGAGGTCATTACATTGTATTGATCTAGGTTTCTCTTGCTTTCAAGTGGATCACACTATTCTGTTTCCTGTAACACTGCTTTATGTTACAACAGATGACACTTCTCTGGGAAAGGAATCAGCATGGCAGAATCCTAAAAGATGATCTAACTGCAAATTTATGAGTAGCATTTCCCTTTTGGATGGAATGATGAAAACGTCTCTTGGGAGATTAAGGCCTAATGGCCTTGGACTTTCTTGATTCAAATCTGTATTGGGACCCCATTCATTTCCCCATTCATTAAAGTGATAACAAAAAATAAAATAAAATACGCCATTGTCTCCATGACATACAAAGGGATAAAAACAAATTGTATGGGAAAATACATGATTTTTCCTTCTTAGCAACCCATAAATCTTAGGTATTGAGATAATCCAAATATTATAAATAATATAATTAGATCCATTACAGGTTGCAGTCAATGGGGTATAATGCATCACTCAAGATGTGAAATTTTGACACCATATGCTCTTTAGGTGAGTGAATTTCAAATTATTTGTTATTAATAGATTTGCACGAACACTCAAGTTTAGTGAGTGTTTATGCTCTACTTTTCCATCAGGTCAATAGCTTGCCATGGGTTAACTAACCTGAGTATTTATCTCTATGGCAGGTGGGCAGATTTCTGAAGCTGGGATACAGCACCCACATGTGCTCATGTGCGCACACATAATCTCCAGTGGTTGAGATACATGTAGCGCAGTGGTTCTCAACCTTTTTAATGCTGCGACCCCCAACCGGTCATAAGTCGAGGACTACTCAACCGGTCGTAAGTCGATGACTACTCAACTGGTGCAGCACGGTTTGCAGACTGGGACTTTTGGCAGGCTCAGCAGGGCAGAGACAGCATGGACAATTCCTATTGGCTTTTGAAAGCCAATAGAATTAGACTCTATTTATGAGAGTCTATTCTATTGACTTTCAAAAGCCAATAGAATAAAAGGGAGTAGCACAGCTAAGGAAAAGGGGAAAAAAATGGCGGACTGCGTTGTTTGGCGACCCCCGTGAAATGGTCATTCGACCCCAAATGGGGTCCCGACCCACAGGTTGAGAACCACTGATGTAGCGGTATATAATGAAGAGGCAGGGCTTAGGTTTTGGGGGAGTTTGGGAGAGAGGATAGTTTTAGAAGGAGGCGTTCCCTTCTCACAAATCAGTTCATTAGAAAATTGTTTTCTATCCTCCCCCCACCCATGTCCAAAGAAGCATCAGAATTTCTCAGTGCCATGATTTCCAGCGTTCCCGGTGACCTCTGAGCCACAGTCACCCTCATTAAATGTTGGGTGAATAAAGGATGTGAGTAGGTACATTGAACCCAAGTTTACGTTTGGACAAAATTTGCTTTACAACTCTTGGATCTGAACACACTTCCCAGTAGGATTCAGCTTCGTGAGGAACCTGTGTTTGATATAGATTGGCTATATGAAGCATAGCACAAATGAGTCTGTGGCATTAGCATATGGTTGCCAGCACAAGACAAAGGAGTAGCCACTTCATTAACAATTTGTTATCATGTTGCTACACCATGTTGAGAAATAATAAGACATTTATCCACATTTAAAGGCAATGGACAGGCATCTGTCGTTAGCTAAAGGGAGAAGGGCCCCAGCTGAAGCAAGTTGGATGATGGAAAGAGAACATCTCCTTGCCTTCTCTTCAACAGTTAAAGCATAATCTGGAAAACCAGCTTCCTTGCAGGTTTTAAGACACCGTTTGGACATTTGGCAGAGTGGGGGGGGGGGGAGAGATTGGCATTTTGCCTAAAGCAGAAACTAAATCCAGGAAGGAGAAGACGCCAGTCTGCAAGCTATCGGCCCTACAAAATAATTTATCTGTCAGCAGCTATTTTAAGCCTGCTGCCTAGCTCCTACATTCCAAAGCCCGTTCTTGCAGGAGATCAGTTACAAGGTGCAGACAATGGGGTGTAATGCAGCAACTTAGGAACGCTTTCCTCTACCGTTTCCTTGTGATTCCAAAGTGGGAGAAACAGTCTGCTTGGGATTAGGGAACTTCTGAAGCCAAGCGGCACATTCTGAAGACTACACAAGGCTTTCTACACAAAAAGGGGGGTTGCCCATAAAGAAAAGTTTAATGGACAAGGGTAGTCAAGAAGCATTAGTTTTCCATGTGTGAAATGAAGAAGACAGCCATATTTTTTTGCACAACTTATCTGGGGATGGGATGCCAGTTGTTTCCAAGAGCTGTCATCCATTATTATTCTGGCTCAGCCATGTATCTGATTCTACTTTGTTTTTTTGAGATGAATGCTGTATGCTTCTGAATTGTTAATGAAGACACCAGATCTAAGGAGGAGGCAGCTAGTAACAGGTGTGAAGTAGCAGGACACACTAGCTTCTAGCGGCGCTACTAATATTCCGCAGAGCCTCCAAAGCAGCTGAGTGCTGTGGCACAATGGCCAATGGAACTTAACTGGCTTAGCGCTCAATGCAGAAACTGAAGAAAGAAGGATAAAGCTTAAAGCTTCTCTTGCATCTGAAGAAACAGAGACCACAAAAGCTGAACTGGCTGTTGCAATAATGTCTCAGGGATTCTGGAGAGTCTACAAAACAAAAGTACTGCAAGCCCTTGGTGGAGAGCCTCAGGAAGAGGAGCTTCAAGATGAGGTAGAGCAATCCATGATGATCACACCTCTTCTTTTTCCTTGGCCATTCAACATAGGCTTCATTAGTTTTCCCACCCATTCCAAATGGAGGGATCTTCACTCCTAATATTTTTCAGCTGGCAAAGCCATTGACAAAAATTCAGAGGGGGGAAGGGGGGTAAAGGCCACACAACTTGAATGTGGTGGGGAAGATCCCAGATATCTTCTACTTTCTATTTTTTATGGGAAACCATTCTTTAGCCCAGAATAGAAACAGACAGTGGGATATATGTGACTATCGGTGATCTACTATCATTCTAATTCTTGCATTTTTTAAAAAAATAAATAAGGGGCAGAAGGCATGCTGTAAAATGATATCGCTTCTAACATTATCTTTACCTTCAAAAATGCTTTGAGGTGGACCATACATATAATAGGCCTCATCTTGAAAGAGAACAACAGTGGGAGCCTGTTACCCCACTGATTCTTTCAAAATGAACCTTTTTTCCGTTTGATCAGGAAAGAACCTCCTGATGATAAGCTGAGATGGTAGGAAGGATACTAAAAGAGGTGGCAAAGAACAAATAACTAATCTGACCTCTGATCAAGTGGTTATTTCTGACTACAGATAGTCCCTGACTTACAGCTGTAATGGAGCCCAGAATTTCCATCACAAGAGTTGTAACGTGAGGCACCCATGTGATTGACCTGATTTCATATCTTTTTTGTGGCAGTCATTAAGCAAATGTGGAGGTATTAATGGGCATTTTTTGGGCGTAAACTGGCCAAAATGTTTGATTTCCAGCAAAAAAAAAAGAGGTAAATCATGTCACGTAACCATGGATTGCTGCAACTGGCCATAATGATGAGCTGAATGTCTAGTGCCTGCAACGTGGTCATGTGACCATCAGTGTGTGTGTGTGTGGGGGGGGTGGCCTCAAAACTCTGGAACTGGATCATAAATATCTTTTGGGCTTGTTTGTGGCAACTTTGAATAGCCACTAAGCTAAGAGAACTACCTGTGTGGCAGCTTTTTCTGAATGGGTAATGTTTCCTCAATAGCCAGTATGTGTGCATTATACCAGAGTCCCCAACCTTTTGGGTACCAGGGATCAGTTCCGTGGAGAGAGGTTTTTCTGCGGACCGGAGGGTGCGTGGTTTTGCATCCCCCGGATGGGGCTTTGCTTGTTTGTGTGGACCAGTTCTGGCATGCCGCAGTCCGGTACTGGTCCACAGACTGGGGGTTGGGACCGCTGCGTTATACTAAAACCAAAAGTTCCCCCAACCCTAGTTGAAAATGCGGTTATGTCCCTTGATTTAAAAAATCTCTGTTGATTGATTGAATCAGACTTTTTGATCATCTACCCACCTATCTAAGCCTGAACTAATTTCCCAGTGATGCAGGAAAAGAAACAACACGCTCCCTTAGGTAAGAAAAGCATTGGAAATTTTATAACTTTAGGAAATTAGATACCCATCCCAAACTGGAATGAAGTTGCTCCATTCTGCCCAATGACAATACTGGGATCACCTTTGTAAATCATTAAATCATCACCAATCTTTTTTATGTGCACCAATCTGTTTTATGTTGAATTGCTGTTATCAGATCAGTCCGATGTAGTCTCTTTCAATGTAGAATGTTGTTATACTGTCTGCAAAATGAGGCAGACTCTGACTGGCCACCGACAATCCACCACTAATTATAATATATTGTCTTCGCTTTTACTTTATTTTTATGTTTCTTATTTGCAATGTTGGTCTGTGACCGTAATATAAATTATTATTATTATTAAATAATTTTTGGGATGGGAGAGGGGAGAATGTTGAAAGACGATGTGCAACATTTCATTTCAAAATGGAGTAAGGCAGCTCAGCTGTCTTTATTCTGCTCTCTCTACGGAACGGAGCCACAGTTTCCGGTAGAAGCAAAAGGCCACTGTTGCCTACTCATCATCATCATCATCATCATCATCAGAAGAAGAAGAAGAAGAAGGAAGGGACCTTGGAGGTCATCTAGTCCAACCCCCTGCTCAGGCAGGAAACCCTTCACCATTTCAGACAAATGGCTGTCCAGTCTCTTCTTAAAAACTTCCAGTGTTGGAGCATTCACCACTTCTGGAGGCAGGTTGTTCCACTGGTTAATTGTTCTAACTGTCAGGAAGTTGCACTAATAATTCCCAAAAGATGATCTCTTATTTCAGAGTGAGAATCCTCAACTGGTGGAAACTACAGACTCCATACTGTTGTCAGAGGAGGGATTGAACTCCATTTCTCAGTTGGCTCGGCAGGTAAGAAAAGTCACTGTCCTCATACAGAGCTAAATCTCCTTTTAGATTTCTGAAGTTGCTATTGCATAGTATTATCTCAGAGATTTTTACTCAGCCCAAAGAAAAAGAGTCATCTCTTTTCAAAAGACAACTGGATTTTCTTGTTTTTTTCCTTGAAGACATTTCAGTTTTCATCCAAGAAGCTTCTTCAGTTCTGACGTCTTCAAGAAAAAAAGAAGAAAGTCTAGTTGCCTTTTGAAAGAGCATCTTTTGGAACGATCATGATCTGGATGACTGAGAATCTCCATAGATTCTTTCTGAGCAGTTGGGTTGAAGAGTTCCAGCACACTATCCATTGCAGAGCCCCCCAAAACCCCCCATCATAAATATGCTTGATTTGAAAGGAAATTTCATTGATGAAAGAGCTCTGAAGTTTGTCTGAGGAAGCCCCTTACCATGATGTCTACCCACAACCCAGTTGTCTCTTCTTTGATTTTGGTATGTAGGTCCAGGGAGCTGGAGCCAAGGGCTGGAGGACCATGTCCTCTTTGTTCAGTCGGGAGGATGGAGATCAGTTGCTGGCTCCCGAACCATCTGCAGACCAGTAAGAGATACCTTTCCTTTTTCCCCTAACTAATTACAATTCTCACATTGCTTGAATAGGGCAGATATACCCCTTCATGACAATCATTTTTTATCCTCCTTGCAGTGTTTCTCAACCTTGAGAACTTTAAGATATGTGGACTTCAACTCCCAGAATTCCCCAACCAACCAGACAAATATAAGGGAGTTGAAATCCATATATCCTAAAGTTGTCAAGGTTGGGAAACACTGTCTTAGAGAAACAGCATGCACACAGAATCATCCCTTTGCCCAGAATGCCTGTTCATTTTTATGGTCAAACAGGCCCTTATGGAGAACTTCTCCCTCCAAACTAAGAGTGCCCCCCAAAATAAAAATATCAGCCATCAATCAATTCACATTCTTGGCACTTCATTCAAAACCACAACTACCCTGGAGGTTTCATTTCCTTATGTTTTTTTCTGATATGAGCTGTTCTTGGCTACAATTGGCAGAGGAAGCCATTGTTGCCCAAAGAATCAGGAAGGAAATGCGCTGGGCCTTCAACTTTCTTATATTTGTCTAGAAATAAGTTTTAGTCAGTGTTTCCAAGTCATGCACACTTTTGTAAAACCAGATTGATATTAAGGAGTGTTGGCTTGGTTTTTGTCGCATTGTGATTGATGGTTTTGCATCCTTTTGCAATTACATACAAATATGAGACCAACCTTGGAATACTGCATTCAGTTCTGGTCGCTATGATATAAAAAAGATGCTGAGACCCTAGAAAAAATGCAGAGAAGAGGAACAAAGATGGTAAGGAGTCTGGAGGCTAAACTGTACAATAAATGATTAAGGGAATCAAAGAGAAGGATCATTGGTGATATGATAGCAGTATTTAAGGGGCTGTCACAAAGAAGAGTGAGTCAACTTATTCTCCAAAACACTTGAAGGCAAGCCAAGAAGTAACAAGTAGAAGACCATTAAAGAGAGACTCAACCTAGAATTAAGGAGAAATTTCCTGACAGTGAGAACAATCAATGAGTGGAACAGCTTACCTCTGGAAGCTGTGGGTGCTCCATCACTGGACGTTTTGAGGAAGAGACTGGACAGCCATTTTTAATAGTAGTAAAGTTGGAAGGGTCCTTGGAGGTCATCTAGTCCAACCCCCTGCTCAGGCAGGAAACCCTACACCATTTCGGACAAATGGCTGTCCAGTCTCTTCTTAAAAACTTCCAGTGTTGGAGCATTTACTGCTTCTGGAGGCAGGCTGTTCCACTGATTAATTGTTCTCACTGTCAGGAAGTTTCTCCTTAGTTCTAAGTTGCTTCTCTCCTTGATTAGTTTCCACCCGTTGTTTCTTGTCTTGGCTTCAAGTGCTTTGGAAAATAGCTTAATTCCCTCTTCTTTATGGCAGCCCCTGAGATATTGGAATACTGCTATCATGTCCCCTCTTGTCCTTCTCTTCGTTAAACTAGACATACCCAATTTGTCCGGAATGGTATAGGATCTCCTGCTTAAGCAGGGGGGTGGATTAGAAGACCTCCAAGGTCCATTCCAACCTATTATTCTATATGGGTTTTGCCATTCAGGTGCCCATCAGAACAGGATCCTTGCAAACTCATCACAAACATTCCTTATTATCTCTCTTTGCCTAGGTAGAATCAGTCAGCTGTTCCTTTTGGCCTTCTGCCCTCCAGTGGGCAGGTAAAATGTGACACACAACAATTGAATGGAGGGAATCTTCAGCCTCCAAGAGTATTCATTCATTCATATTTATTATAGTTGCTCAACTCCAATGGGCGTTTAAACTGAACCTTCAAGCTGTACAAAAACTCTAGAAAATATGCTCTTTATTTTTTTTATTTTTCCAAACTCTCCCCCATACATATACCGTGATATTTATCAGATATTAACAAACATTCTTTTTACATTCATATATAAGATACTTTTAATAAAATGAAATAAATACACACACATGACTTTTGGTGTTGCTCGCCCATTTCCCCTTTCACCGTATCCACACTCCTTCTTCTCTACCTTCTTTCTCCCTTTATTCTCTTCCCTACTTCCCTCTTCTTCCTCTCCTCTTCTCTTTCCTTCACCACTTCTCCCCACTTCTCCTCTTCTCCAACTTTCCTACTTCCTTTTCCCCTCCTTTACTCTTTTCTCTCTCCTCTCCTTTCCTCCCTCTCATCTCTCTTCAGAAACAATTCAGGAGTAATGTCCGAGCAACTCCTCTCTTTATTTTTATGGTATCCATTACCCTCCATTCATCATTTAAAAAGCTCAAACAAGATTAAAATGGTAAAAACTACAATTATTAAATCTATGAAAGCAAAGCAATATCAGATATAATAGTGAAGATCTAACTGGGAAAAGTGCTCTTTGGGGGAAATTACTAAGTTGGCATTCAAAACTCACAAGTGATAACAACATAAGAAAGAAGATCTACTATCAGAAAGGTCTTCCTTTGCACATTGTACTATAACCATATTCACAGCTAGGTTCCTAAACATGCCAAACTCAAGATATGGTCCAGATAGTACTTTATTGGCCTTACATTCTTTTCTTTTTTTTTAACGAAAAATTTCATTAATTTTCTATTATTACATTTAATTAGTGCTTAAGAAACATCGTGTTGTCTGGGTTAATTTGTTTGCAGATTGTTTCCAGATAGTTTCCCACTTAACTCAATAGGTATTTTTTACTGTACATTCCATCTATGATACTTTAGATAAGCATTTCCTATGAAACTAAATCAACTACCACAATATTGTTTTAGGAAAGATCAGAGAATATATTTTACATGAGAAACATTTATTTCCATTACTCTTGGACAGGCCTGGGAATGACCTATATCTGAAATTCTGGTGAGCCACTTCTACTCGATCAGCACTGTGCCCTAGGGGTGGACACCACTGACAGGGAGACCTTCACCTTTACCTCTATTTCCACTAAGAGCAAATTGAAGATCTGGCTTGGCCTAAAGCAGATTCCTGTGTATCTGATTTTATTCTTAGAATTTGGGGGACTTATATTAACACACTATCCAGTGTAGTTTTAGTGCCTCTCCTTTCCTAAATTCTTTTCTCCTTTCAGTCCTCTAGCTGTAAAACCAGCAGAAGAATCACCTGAGAAGAAGACCACTGGCCTTTGGGATGTTTTTGCTTCTAAGTGGCAGCAAACTTCAGCTCTGGAAAAAATGACTGCCAAGGTGGACCCTAGGGAGGAAATGGCTGAGGGCAGTGGGGGGTCTGGGGTGATGCCAGCTGAGGAAGTCAGTGACCTTGGCGATGACAATGATCTCCGAGAAGCTGAAGGTGTGGCCTTCAAGTGGAGCTTCCTAACCAACAAATTGGCTGAGCTGAAGAACAAGAATATTCCCAAAAGTAACTAGGACAGACACAGAAATGGAGGACTTTGAGTGAGTGACCCTTTCTCGGTAATAACAATATATTTTATTATTTTCCATCAGCTTTCTGAGAAAAGTGCTGGGCTTAATGTGAAATATGCAGTTCTAGGTATGGATGTTGTTAACTTTATGAAGCCTTCCCAGAGTGCGTGTCTCCAATGCCTTCATTCCATTTCTCTCTCCTTATAAGACAGTTCTTAGAATAATTGTAATGCTAATGGACACTTACTGTACAAAAATCTCCCTTGCCAGAGACTGTTGCCTATCAAAAAACGAGCATCTCCTTCTTTCTTTCCACATTCACTTGTTTTGATGGCATCGACAATGACTTTCTAAGAAAACAGAGGTCGCAGAACGATTAATCCAAGAGTCTAATCTATAGCTACCTACAAGCTGATTCTGTGATAAGGTGCTGCAATTGATAGACTTGGATGGAGAACACCTGGATGCAGCTCAGCCATGATGAGACCTGTGCAAGAAATCTCACAGACTTATGATGATAAAATGGGAGAGCTCCGTGCATGGAAATTCCAAACTCTTCGCAGAAAGAAAAGTATGATGCAAATGTTGGTGACCGAAAGTAGTTAAATCTGTTCATGGAGACACTTTCCCATAACCCATAAAGGTATTCTGAGCTTGCCAAGGAGATCTCAAAGGTGTTTGGTGCTGGTGTTTGCAGTGCTGTCAGACCCTGGAAATTCTGTTTTCCAGGAATCTCCAAGTTTATTTATTTATTTATTTGTAGGATTTATGTGCTGCTTATCTCATCCAGAGGTGAAGTTCCATTCCTGGCACCTCAGGAATGGCTGGGAAAGATCTAAAGCCCAGAAAGTCTGTTGTAAACAACATAGACGGTACCAAGCACCAAGGATTAAAGGACTGGTTTGATCTTAGACAGTTTCCTTTATCCCTGCTGGACATAGTTACGAGGCAAAGCGCATACTTAGTATGCAGACAAAGTTACCAGTTCAATCCCTGGGCTGGACAAAATTCCAGTGTAAAATCCTGTTTCAAGGTTGGCTGGTTTGAAGATGATTTCAGATCATCCTCAAATTGGGGAATTATAATGGAAGACAGGTCACAAATCAGGGTAAGATAGCTTTCTAGCTTCATAACTTATGGAAGCTAGTAGTCCAGGTAGACAAGGATTATAACCCTAAAATGTGTCAAGGAAAATAGATTGGAGACTGATTTGGCTAGATATGTGGAATAAGAGAGAATTCAGGCTGCAAAACTTACTATAGCACAGAGCAGGGGTAGGCAACCTTGGCTCTTTTATGACTCTTGGACTTCAACTCCCAGAATTCCTGAGCCAGCCATGCTGAGGGGAAAGGGAGAGATTTCCAAGCTGAGCCATGTTGGCTCAGGAATTCTGGGAGTTGAAGTCCACGAGTCATGAGGGAGCTGTAGTTCCCCCATGCTGGCTCAGGACTTCTGGGAATTGAAGTCCACGAGTCATAAAAGAGCCAAGGTTGCCTACCCCTGGCACAGAATGTTCAAGATTCTTCTACAAACTTCACTTATTCCTGGCACCTCTAACTTCCTGGACAAAAATGTTTTTCTTCTGTAACACACATGGACAACAGGTAACCTTCAGGGTGTAATTAGTCTCTAACTACTCAGCCCAAACCTTTATGACTATTGGTGCAGTATGATGGGGAAAAAATAAAGCTTCAAGCATCTAGTGAGATCCTTATCTTCTATGAACCAAGACTCATCAACAGAATGATTGAAGAAGCTTTGTCTTTTGCAACCCACTGTCAAAATATTTCTGCTGAAGCTGGCATCATTTTTAAAGAAGACAATATCCCTGGATTCACAATGCTGGTTTGGCATGCTGTGTGTAAGGACCCACCCCATTTTGCATCTTAAGAAGACAGAACTCTTGGAATATCTCTTCCAACAGGCATCTTTATTAAGAGAAGATGGTTGCAGGCGTTCTAGACAGGATCTGAGGGGCCAACCCCTACCCTTCAATGTTTTAAGTGGTCCCAAGCAGCCCCCACCCCACCGTCCTTCCAGCGATGATCCCAGGCGTTACATTTCCACCCCTTTTTCCTCGCTGCCGGCAGAAGGGAGACTTCAGAGAGATAGTAGATGAAAGGCTGTGGCCATATTGTTATGGTCAGTCCTCTTGATAAGAATCACATTCAGTCCTTTGTAGTTTAAATGAAGGAAGTGAGAGTCATAAACCCCCTTGCTCCCTCCTCCCTTTTCGTAGTGTGACAGAATCCAAAAAAGTAAGAAATGGATCTTTTTTCAGAGTAGATAGCTAGAATTTAAATGTAATTGGATTCTGACACTGTGTAAGACTATCTACAGTACATATGAGTTCAGCGGTTCTCTGAAGAACTTCCAGTCTACACCCCAAACAGACATTGGATATACCTACCTCATTAACATCTTCATGTTTTTCAGATCTTTGCTGATGACTATCATTAAAAAATATCCTAATCTGTTAGGATGTTCTAGATACCTATCTAGTGTTTCACTGCTTGAGAAGAGGCTTCTGTTCAAACACGGTGTCCTCTGTTTCTCTTTTGCCTTCCCCAACTATCAGCCTCAAGTAATGTTTAAATTAAGTGTGTTGAAAATTAAATACTTTAATAGCCAGAAATAGCTTCAGATTGTTCATTGTCTTTTACGTTGTAGAAATATAAGTTCATAGATAATCGTGGATAACTTGCTAAATGTGGTTATAATTTGCCAATTTTTAACTTTCCCATTCAAGAGAGTGGTTCAGACTTCTGGAAAGAACTACCTGTTAGAATTTAGTGAAGATTCTGTTCAACGACAATTAGATCTTATCACCACTTTGAATAGGATAATTCAGTGGTTCTCAACCTGTGGGTCGGGACCCCATTTGGGGTCGAACGACCATTTCACGGGGGTCACCAAACAACACTGTCCGCCATTTTTTCCCCCTTTTCCTTAGCTGTGCTACTCCCTTTTATTCTATTGGCTTTTGAAAGCCAATAGAATAGACTCTCTTGAATAGAGTCTAATTCTATTGGCTTTCAAAAGCCAATAGGAATTGTCCAGGCTGTCTCTGCCCTGCTGAGCCCGCCAAAAGTCCCATTCTGCAAACGGTGCTGCACCAGTTGAGTAGTCCTCGACTTACGACCGGTTGAGTAGTCCTCGACTTACGACCGGTTGGGGGTCGCGGCATTAAAAAGGTTGAGAACCACTGGGATAATTGAATCAAATTGCTATTTTCTCCTGAAGTCTCAGAAAGGCGATGTCTCTGAAAGTTCAACAATGTAATACTCTCTTGTGCACCCACAGGCACCTTTTTCTGAGAGATAGTTTGACTCAGATTCCACAATTTGGATCAACTCAATTCACTGAATTAAATGAATAATTTGAATTGGATCTTGGGTTATGTGCATGCTTTTAGTCTCTGCCTCTTTCCTGCAGCTTGTTGCTTGGAGGAGAGACAGCAGAATATCAGAGGGAAAGGAATCTGTATCCATATTGACCTTATAGTCTGGCTATAGCCATATCTTAATTCAGCCACATATACTCAAGATCCACCACAATATACTCATGATTTTCTTGATATGCAGCCCTTAGAGCAATGTTTCTCCATCTTAACAACTTTTAGAAGTGTGGACTTTAACTCCCGGAATTCTTCTGCCCTAGCATGCTGGCTGGAAATTCTGAGAATTGAGGTCCACACATCGTAACATTGCTGGGATTGAAAATCCCTGCCTTAGAGGCAGAGAGAAACTTGCTTATTTCCCCTTAGTTATAGCTATAATATAATCTGTAAACCTTTTGCACAAATACAGCAAACAAAGATATGCATAAGTAATTCTCAAATTAAAGAAAGTAGGTATTTTGCATAATTTTGCAGTGTGACCTACGTTACAGATGAAATATTCTGTTTTTGCTCATTAAGGGGGAAAGCATGACATTAAAATAGGGCTCTTGAAGGACAGGGAATGTTCTACCGTGTCTTCAGCTCATGCCGCTGACCACGTTCACACATTTTGAAATATAGGCTCGCAATTATAAGGTTTGGAAATGTAGCTTCAGTTGTTCATTTTAATGGAATCTTGTATTTTCACAGAATGGGCTAAAATAAATTGCCTATTCAGAGTAAATGTAGGTTTTGTATTAGATGATTATGATATATCTAGCTACCACAAGGTGGCAACAGATGGACTGTCTTCAGAAATTAAAATCTTGTTCGTTTTCTACAGAACAATAATCTAGAGTTTGTTGAGCAGCATTCATTAATTGAAGGCTGTAATTTTTCATGTACATTCAGTGGAAAATATCAATTGTCTTAGAATCCATATTAGGTCTGTGCAAGCACACTGTTTCTGAAATGAAGCTTTAGTTATAAAAAAAAAAAAGTCACCTTTCACAAACTGATACCATAATGATATCTGAGAGCTTGAGCATCCATATTATTGAAGAGGAAGCTTTACTATTTATTTATTTGAATTTATTTGAGAAATGTATATGGCTGCCCAACTCAGGCATTGCAACTCATGACAAAGGATAGGTAGACAGTTCCCGGATCACCTCCACACCTTTACTCCTCACTCTTTGATAGGTGTGCTGGGGTTTTTGTTGTTGTTTGCAGCTCTGTTGTGAAATAATAAAAATTGCTCTGAAATCAGTTTTTCACTGGAAACTGTGGAACCTTGAAGAGCCCAAGGGTAAGCCATTTTTCTATTGGCAGAATTCCTGTGTCTTCCCTTCTCCTGGTTACTTGTAAGGAGCCCTGGTGGCACAGTGATTAAAGTGCAATATTGCAGGCAAACTCTGCTCACAGCCTGGAGTTTGATCGCGAGATTGACTCAGCCTTCCATTTTTCTGAACTGTGTAAAATGAAGCCCCAGATTGTTGGGGAGAATATGCAAATAATGCTTATATTATAAACTGCCCAGAGAGTGCGGTAAAGCGCTATGGGGCAGTATGTAAACCTAAAAGCTATTGTTCTTTGTACTTCCATTACTCTAGTGCAGGGGTAGGCCACCTTGGCTCTTATATGACTCGTGGACTTCAACTCCCAGAATTCCTCAGCCAGCCACGTTGAGGGGAAAGGGAGAGGTTTCCAAGCTGAGCCATGCTGGCTCAGGAATTCTGGGAGTTGAAGTCCACGAGTCATAAAAGAGCCAAGGTTGCCTACCCCTGTTCTAGTGAGTCCATAAAGGGTAATGATGGTTTTACAACTTTGTATCCTCCCCCTGCTCCCCAATGAAGCAGGGATGAAGTTGACAAGAGTTGTGACTATATTCCTACTTCTTTGTGTTGATTTATTTATTCGCTTCTCTGTTTTGTGGAGGTGAAGGGAGAATTTTGTTGCTGCAGAATCTCAGGGTGTTCCTTATTCTCAAAGCTGCAAGAAATGCAATTGCGATTAAAGATTAGAAGCAGAGGAGGCATGGAAGGATTCTTAGAGAGTCCTTTTTGATTCCTCCCATCAAAGTAATGAACAGTCCAAACAGAAGGAAACCCAGCTGAATAAAATCCTCACACCTCCCGTAAGAAATAATTCCAGTTTGCCAGAATTACAGGCATTCTTTTTTCCCACTTTACAGAAGTCAAGGATTATATTCTGTGGCTGCCTAGTGCTTCTCCCAGACCAGAAAATAAATTTATTTATCTATTAATCAAATTTATAGAACCATCCAACTCACACACGGTGACTCCAAGAGACTTATAGCATTAAAAATCCACAATGTAAAACTCATAACATCAGCCTGACATTTGCTGAACCCCCTCAGAATGCTGTTTTCCGAAGGTTGGTTGGTATTGAACAAAGGCAGACACGTTTATCAACAACTTTTTTAATTACAAACACAGGGAAGCAGAAACATCTGCAGCACAGTGAAGCAAGTCATACAGGCTTCAACATAAAAGGAAAAACTAGAACCAAGCACACTGGACTTGCTATCAGGAAAAAGAAACCTTGGATGATTCAATTATAGAACTACATTCAGATAGTTCTGCCCACAGGAGTGGAAATTCCTTATTGATCAGCACTTTGTTAGAGGCCTAAATGGAGCAGTGTTTACTAACCCAACCAGCCAATGTACATAGGGGTTAGCAGGATATCAGGATCATCCTTGTAGAAAAGGTGATAGGCAACCTTAACCTTTCACTTTAAGAAACTTCACTGGCAAGTTGAGATTTGAACCAATCCTGCCTGTGTTCTCTGCTGTACCACAAAGGCTCTCAATCAATGCAAAAAAAAAAAAAAAAAAAGGGAAATGTGTCCATCTGCTCTGGATGGCAGCAAGTAATTTCAGCCCTTAAACTAGCCTGGACACTGTATCCTTGGCTGAGGATACCTTTAGGGAATCTTGTTCCACTTGAGGTCCTCCACTTGTTAGATTTCAATTCCCAAATTCTCAGCATGGTAATTAATCATCATTAACCATGATGGTTAGACCCTGACTGGGAAAAATTCAGTGAAAGTTCAAGGCCAACTGGTTTTTAACAGTATAGATCAGTGGTTCTCAACCTGTGGGTCGGGACCCCATTTGGGGTCGAATGACCATTTCACGGGGGTCGCCAAACAAGGCTGTCAGCCATTTTCCCCCCCTTTTCTTTGGCCACGCCCCTGGTACCCGGTGATGTATAAGTGGTTGGGGGTCACCACAACATGGGGAACTGTATTATGGGGTTGCGGCATTAGAAAGGTTGAGAACCACTGGTATAGATAGTCCTCAACTTACGACCATAATTGAATGTTACATTTCTGTGCTAAGCAAGAGAGTTAAGTGAATTGAGCCTCGTTTTATGATGTTCCTTGCCACAGTTGTTAAGTGAATCGCTGCAGTTGTTAAGTGAGTAACATGGCTGTTAAGGGAATCTATCTTCCCCATTGACTTTGTTTATCAGAAGATTGCAAAAGGGGATCACATGACTCCGGGATACCACAACTGTCATAAATATGAACCAGTTGCCAAGTGTCCAAATTTTGATCCTGTGACCGTGGACATACTGCAATGGTCATAATTGTGAAAAATGATCATAAGTCCCTTCGAATAGCCACTTAAAGGATGGTTGTAAGTCAAGGACTATCTGTATTCCTTTGAGAAAGACACATCGGGTGACAGATAGTAGCTTCTCCCTGCTGTGTTTGCCCTGGTGGGAACATTGCCATCCCCTCCCAAACAGGACTTCCCCTCCCTTGGGATAAAGGGAGAGCCTTGGACCCCAGATCTTTATGAGTTCATACTGTAGATTCTTTGGATCTCGTTTGGGCCTGCTGACAGCTGTAAAGCCATTTAATGACACGGGCATTTCGCTCCACGACGGAGACCGATGAAGACAGCTTGTCGCTTGGGTCTTCAGTAGAAAAGGGCTCCCCACTATAGGAAAGGCCATCGTGTTCAGAACTAGCTGACCCAATGCAGAAGGAACCAGCTTCCCAGCTGCCTGGTTTGAAGCGTTCAACTCCAAGCACCTCTACCAAATTCCGGTCCAAGCCACAGTAATTAAAGAACCGTTCTTTCTCTGAAAGAGGAAGAGAATAACTCAGAGTCAGCTCTTTCTTGGCTTCTGTTTGGTAATAGCCTGAGGAAGGAAAGGGCTGGTCAACATTGAGCTGAGAGCTGGCCTGGGGTTTTTGACTAGGCTCAGACTCACAACCCATGAATCCATCTAGGAGGTCCACTGAATGTGCAGTCCTTGTGTCGTCCTTCTCTGCAGGTACCCAAATCATGGCGTTCTCTTCTTGGGTCACTTCCAGGTGTCCATCTCCAAAGAGACTCCTTGAAGGACAGTTATGATGTCCATCTCTCAGTGGACTCTGAAACAGCCACCTCATTAGGCTGTACCCTTTGCTGTTCTCCTTGTTGACCAGAGAACAGTCGCGTTTTTGCCGGTAGATGACAAGTGAATCAGGCCTCAGTAGACGCCTGCTGCCCCCTCGCCGCGCTATGGGGGACTGAGGGGAAGGGGGCTGCTTCTTGGGTCTGAGGCCATCATGGTCTGCTGTCAAGCCCTGAGGACATTCACTCTGCTGGTGGAGGGTTAGGGGTCTCCTGCAGCAAGGGGAAGACTGGGGAGTGTGGCTGAGCAGAATTGGCTCCTGACGACTGTTGATCACTTGCCGAGACTTGACATATTTGGCTTTGTCAGCCTCCAGCCTCTCCACGGCACTTGGCGTCCGCCCACCACCGCTCATCTCCAGCTGCTTACGCAAGTAGTCAGGCCCTCGTGTGAGCAGACCCAGAGGGGAAAGTCCATCTCCTGGAGAAGGAGGCCTCATTCTGTAGCCACAGTTTCAGATATTGGGCAATTTCCAAAACCAGGATGTTTTCGGTCTGCAATAATTGCATAAACAGATTTATGACTAACAGGTTAAAAGAATTAGCAGAATTTTCTCCAACACCACACCCTAGAGAAAAGGTATATGGTTGTCCCACATGAAGATTTAGCTACTCTTCCACAATCTCTTCTGCAGTGCTGGAAACCAGTTTACTTGCTTATTTGTTTCTGTATATTAGAATTCAGCCACGCTTCCAATGAGGAGTGAAATCTTTCTGTGAAGAAAGAACACCGTTGGATGCTTGCCACTCCACAATTGTCCTAGAAGCAGAGAAGAAGATTAATGAGATAATGCAAATCAGAATGGTATTTCCTATCACATTGTGATTCTTGAAAGATGAGAATTGCTGGGAAATACACAATTAATCAGCAATGAATAATATTTTGGTGGTTTGGGTTTTTTTTTTTAATGAAGTGAATTTTTGTTCAAGCGCTGATCTACCATCTGGGAAACTCCAATATTCCAGCTCAAAATGGATTGGCCACAACATGCCAAGTTGTAAAAAATCTTATTACAGGTAAATCCCTCTTTGTTCTATGGCAGTGGTTCTCAACCTTTCTAATGCTGTGACCCCATAATACAGTTCCTCATGTTGTGGTGACCCCCAACCACTTATACATCACCGGGTGCCAGGGGTGTGGCCAAAGAAAAGGGGGAAAAAATGGCAGACAGCCTTATTTGGTGACCCCCGTGAAATGGTCGTTTGACCCCAAATGGGGTCCCAACCCACAGGTTGAGAACCACTGTTCTATGGTTTTCTGAATGTTCCTGCTTAGGATAATCTTCCCTAATTATAGCTCTTGTGATGAATTGGACTTGTTAAGTTCCATAATTCCTGACCAGCATGAAGAAATAATAAGGGAATTTCAGCTAAACACTAGATAGAATTCTTGATAGTATTCAAGATTCAGTAGTGAACAGGCTGACTTAGAAAACAGTATTTCCTTTCATCAGATGTTTTAAGCAAAGACTGGATGACTATGTAACATAATTTCCTGTGTTAGCAGGAAGCTGGACTTGACTTGGGTTTTTCAAGCAGTGGCCACACTGTGTTGGCATATGGGAGAAACTTATTCCAAAATGTAAGTAGGCCTGGACAAAAACTAAGTTTGATTTCCTTTAACATCATTTACATTGGATGACAGTTTTGTGCAATTGTTAATTCTAGTCCCATCATTGGTACAAAGCCAGCTGGATGGCCAGCAAGAAAGCAAGGGCAAACCACTTCCAAAAATCTTGCCAAGAAAAGTGTAAGGACTTGTCCAGTCACAGAAGTCAAAACTGACTTGAAGACGCAAGAATGAAGAGATGAATCTTTCCCCTCCTGCTACATTAAATATAATCAATTATTAACAAGAATTGAAGGGCAGATCCACCACTGTGTGATTGTCAGCCCTTTGATTGGCCAGATCAATAAACAGAGTCTTCACAATGATTAGAACTATCCTTTATTAAGACAGGATGTTGCAATATAACAGTATATTATAAGCCTGACCATGTTTTCCTCTCTTATACCCCAGGGATTAAAGGAGGGGGCCAGACTAAGATTCTTCCTAATAGTTTCCTTGGCCAAAGCATATTTTAGCACCTTCTGCTATTGGAACAATTTCTGAATCCTTTCTCCAAGGTCATCTCTGTAGTTCCCTTGAGTGACTAACCCACCAAGTTATTCTATAAAAAGTGATAGCGAACCTTTTAGAGACTGAGTGCCCAAACTTCAACCCAAAACCCGTTTATTTATCGCTGAGTGCCAGGTGGGCATGAACCGCTGGGTGAATGTGGCTGTGGTGGTCATGGCAGATTGGGTGAATGTGGCCAAGGTGGGCATGATCACCTCAATGTTGCTCATGGGGAGGGACATCTGTGGGGTTGGGCAGAGTGGGGGAAGATCCAGGGGGTCTCTGGCAGGATGGGCAGTGGGCAGGAGGCTCGTCCTGCGGGGTGAGGCGAGACAAGACAGGGCAGGGGTGCCATTGTCACAGGGCAAGGTGAGGCAGGGGCCGGGGTGGCTGCTGCCTGACACCATCGGCCCCTGCACACACAGGCCAGCGAGCGCATGGGTGCTGGGATGCATCCAGCCATGTGGGACCTCGGCGAGTTAGTGGGCGGCTGGTTAAAGAGGGACGGTTGCCATCTCCGGGGCATGGCGCGCATGCCCATAGAGAGGGCTCTGAGTGCCGCCTCTAGCACGTGTGCCATAGGTTCGCCACCACTGTTCTATACTCTTCCTGGCAAATTTCATTTAGTCAGACAATATCACTTAGATTCAGCCAAAGTCTTGACCCTGGACAAGAAGGGAAGGATTTTGTTTTTATGCTCCAACATTAAAATGCCAGGTTTTTTTTTAACATGTTTATTCCAACAAGTTCAAGACCCTCTGCAGGGCCAAGAGATGCTCCAGAAAGATTTGTTTCAGAAGAGGAAGCTTGCAGGGCAAGATATCAAATGAGTTCCACAGTTTCATACAGAGGTTTCAAGAGGAAGCCAAGCAGGAAAACATAGAGGAACTGGCAGTTTTATCTTTAGTGGCTCAGCCATTCCCAGAACAAAGCAAACTCCACAAGCAAAAGTTAGCACAAAAGCTCTTCTACCCTGCTTTAGGCAACCAGTTGTGTGAAGGTAGCCAAGTCTGAGGCAGGAAGATGGAGACAGTGGGAGGTTAGAAAAGCCAGACTGGGTGTTATGGACTTCCCTTCTTTTTCATGCAATTTGAAGTAAACCTCAGTTCCTAAAGGAAGGTTGGCCTGAGGTGGACCACCATGCCTGTTTCCTCTTCACAAAGGAATGCCAGGAAATGCTGGTGATGCTTTAGGACGGGGTGCCTGGCTTTTTATCTGGGGGAAAAGTGGGCACAGAGAAGTTGTCTCTTTTTAGATCACGGGTGTCAAACTCAATTTCATTGAGGGCCGCATCAGCATTGCGGTTGCCCTCGGGGCTGTGTGTGGCCAGGGTGGGTGCAGCTTACCGGTGGGCATGGATGGAACGGGTGTGGCCTACTGGGTGAGTATGGCCAGCTCTACATTGTTCGTGTCAAGGGTGCCTGTGGGGGCCTGGGCAGGAGTGGGACAGATCTGAGGGTCTCTGGCAGAAGGGGGTGGGACCGGGGCAAGTGCCAAGGCATGGTCCACTGGAAGAGCCTGCCAAAACCCTTCCCCGGAGCCCATCAAGCTGGATATGTGAAGTAGGCGAGGGCCATTTGCTGGCCACTTCCAGGTGATGGTGCATTTCTTCATTCCTCACAAAGGGTGACACCTCCCCAGCCTGCACCCAGGGGGTGGGGCCAACATGGCAGGAGCTGTTTCTGGACAGCCTTGTGGAGCTAAGAGTGAATGCATTTCAGCATAGATGGCTACCACAAAATTGTACATTGGCTCCCGGCCGGCCTGGGCCAGGGCTATGGCAGCAGGGGCCGTTCCCTCACTGTTTCCAGGATGGCTTCGTGGGCCACGTGAAACCACTTCGCGGGCCGCATCTGGCCCCCGGGCCTTGTGTTTGACATGTCTGTCTTAGATATTGCTGAATTATAAGCTGCCAACATCTCTCATTCTTGGCAAAGCTTGACTGAGGCAGTTGAGAGTTTGAGTTAATGAACATCTGAAAAGTCATCCTGGGAAAGATCTTGGAAAAGTCTGGTAGGGTCCAGGATGGGTGGAAATGGTAGAACACTGATGGGATCTGATAGGCAGAGTGTGCTAGAATCCAGCACGACCATTGGAGGAATTCTACCATTCGGTTTCAAAGCTGCTTGCAGAAGAGTAGCCAGATAGACAGAATGCAGTGAGTTTCTGAGATCTGAATCGGGAATCCTTTGTGTATTAACCAATCAGAATGACATGATGGAAACATCTATCTACCTGGGAATATCCGTTCAGGATGTGCCCACTGAGTTTTGCTGAGCAGAAAGAGCTACAAAAATGTCTTCCTGTTCACATTTAGGGCTTCCTGAGCCTATGGTTTTCCACAAGAGGAAGATTTGATACACTCTTTTGTTCTTGATATACCTCTGACTACACCTATATCCCAACCTTGACTAGTGGTAGGAATTTTGCAGTAGCATAAATAGAGAATGCCATAGACTAAGGGGAGGCAGCCTTGGCTCTTTTATGACTCGTGGATTCAACTCCCAGAATTCCTGAGCCAGCATAGCTGGCTCAGGAATTCTGGAAGTTGAAGTCCAAGAGTCATAAAAGAGCCAAGGTTGCCTACCCCTGCCATAAACCAAATTTATTTTTTGCTTTTTCGACAAATGAGGAAGTCTATGCTAGGCTAGCCTTCTCCAATCTGAAGCCTTTCAGAGGCATCAGAACTATACTTCCAAGATTTACAGGTCCCTCTGATCAGGAATCCTGGGAATTGTAAACCTAAGCACATCTGGAGGATATCAGGTTGAAGAAGATAATTGTATAAAGCTGATGGAATTAAATAAAATTATTGTGGCCTTTGCCTCTTCAGCTTATTTCTAGTTCCCCAGCCATTCACCCTTGCTAATTTTAAAGGATGAATAAATACCGAACAAAGAAGGTTGCAATGAAGAATTGCTGAGACTTTGCCTTCCTTTTCAGATATTCTCTAGTTAATCATTTGCAGAAACTGGAAAATAGTAAATGGAATTGTTATGGTGATGGGCCATAGGTCCTTTAAAAAAAATGCTCCCATATAAGATTTTCAACGATTTCTTCCTATATCTGCCACTGATCTTCTTTTTAATGGGCCTGCTCTCGTACAGAAATTAAAAATGGGAAAGATGGTAAATCAAAGAATGGCTGGTATGTGGGAGAGTGCCATTGAGCTCAATAGGTAGAAGGCAATGATTTGTACCTATTTCTGCCCTTTAGTGAGTTTGCAGATGGTTATTTATATATTAAGGGAGAAGCAAATGGAAAAGGCCATCTAATTCCACAGGAGCCAATAGCTCCCTAAACTGGATCCACACCCAATATCTAGCATCTTGTAACTAACCCAGAACCATTTGGATTTGGGAAATGAAGTTGATACTTTCTCGCTAATCCAAATAGACTGAAGAGTTCTGAAACATCTTACCTAAGCATACTTAGCCTCTTTTTACATGCAAATAACACGGATATGGGAACTGTGACACATATTGTTAATGGAACTTAAACTTCCATGCCAATGGAAAGATTATATTTTGGGAGAGAGCTATTGTCACAGACATAGGTTTTCCTGTTGAAATCATGCTATCACTTAATATCTAAGATTTTTTAAAAAAAACCTGAAACAATTTTAAAAAGAGATGTTCTACATCAGGGGTGTCAAACTGTCGGCCTGCGGGATGGATGCATCATAGCAAAACCCTGCCCACCCCATTGTCGGCAATGGCAAAAAAGTCACGACACGTCATGTGACATTGCTAGTTTGACACCCGTGTTTTACATGCGAAACCAATATTTAGTCATTCAGCTGTTGTCCCTTCTTCTCATCTTCCAAATATTTTTTAAGGAGGCAGCTTCCCTCTCCACTTATTGTCTCATTTAAGAACTGAAACCAGGTCACCTAGTTCCCCAAGAAAATCCTATCAATTTAGCAAGATATTCAGATTGAATAGTTGTTTTCCTTGCCTAAGGTAAGCCTAAGATTCATTGTCTCCTGGCTTCTACTCCAGCACCTTAATCATTGCCCCAACTGGCTCTTAGTGGAGACGACCTCTTTCCTCACATTACTAATATTCGTGTGTGGGGCAAATGAAAGGAAAGAGTCAAAGCATTTTAGTATATGTGTCAACTCTGCAATGAACTTGGCTGCAGCCATCTTTCTCTTCATTCTAGGTTGCCACATAGAACTGTTGGAACCATGACAATATGGGATGAAAATTATTTCAAGTACAGAGCTGGATTGCCAATACTTGGGTTGCAAAAATTAGTTGACACTTAGATGGCTACAGTTAGAACAGGGGTCTTCAAACTTGGCCCTTTTATGACTTGTGGACTTCAACTCCCAGAATTCCTCAGCCAGTGTGCCTGGCTAAGGGATTCTGGAAGTTGAAGTCCACAAGTCATAAAAGGGCCAAGTTTGAAGACCCCGAATTAGAATTTGAAGAGCCAGTTTGTTGTAGTGGTGAAGGTGCTGGCCTAGAAACCAGGAGACTGTAAGTTCTAATTCTGCCTTAGGCATGAAAGCTGGCTGGATAACTTTGGGCCAATCACCAGGAGACTGTGATTTCTTTTTTTTTTAATAAATATTTTTGTTGAGTTTTATAAAGGTAATAAAGGGATAGGGTCAAAAAGGATAAGACAAAGGGAAACATAGAAAAAGGTTAGACCAGGGGAAAGGGGTAACACAAAAGTGGGATTAATCCCACAAAATAACATCGCTTCAGCAAATCTACCAGTCCGGGTTTACATATTAAATCTTAATAATTACTCTATTATTAGATAACTTTCAATACAATCATGTAAATAACAAATTAGTCAATAGCTCTCATTCATTTCACTACTTAACAATGCTTAGTATTAATTATAATAACTTTAAAATAATAATATATTACATATTAATTATAGTTTACTGTGTTGTTTAAGATCACAAATATACAAAGAGGAAGAAGAAGAAGAAGAAATAAGAACAAGTTCATGCAAATAATCATGGAATATAAATACAAATTATCAATTATCTCTTTAAATTTCATAACCTTTTCTCATTCTAGCATGTTTGTAACCCAGTGTTTCTCAACCTTGACAATTTTAAGGCAGGTGGACTTCAACTCCCAGAATTCCACAGCCAGCATTGCTGGCTGTGGAATTCTGGGAGTTGAAGTCCACTTGCCTTAAAATTGTCAAGGTTGAGAAACACTGTAAAATCTAACCAATAATAGGAGACTGTGATTTCTAGTCCCGCCTTGTGCATGAAAGCTGGGTGGGTAACTTTGGGCCAGTCCCTCTCTCTCAGCCCAATCCATCTCACAGGGTTGTTGTTGTGGGGAAAATAGAGGGAGGAAGAAGTATTATGTATGTTCACCACTTTGAGTTACTTATGAAGCTAAAACTCTAATAAAATTCACCCTGTATAATAGCACTAACAACCATTCCATTCAGTCTTGATACAGACTGCAGATGCTCCTCTTCCTTTCAACACAGCAACTGCAGCAGGATGGAGCACCTACCTGGCTGCTTGAGATGCCCAAGTGAAATTTCAGTCATTGCACAAACTGTGTTTCTTCACTTGCTCCTCGCCAATCAAGCAGAGGCCACATGCTAAACCCACTGCCCCCTCCCTCTGATCTGAAAAACAAGGGAACCATTTCCTGCATTGTCTGCTCTGTCCCTCCCTTCCCCTTCAGCCTGGGTAGTTGTGGATGATCCTTCAAATTATATACATACATACATACATACATACATACATACATACATACATACATACATATAAATGTACCGGAGATGGTTCCCTCAGCCAAAAGGAAAATTCTAGGCTAGAAATCAGTTGTCAGTCCCAAAGCGGTAAATTTTTTAATATCTTCCTGTGTTCCCTATTCCAAAAGGATGAAAGACGACTGAAAACATAATTCCTATGAAGCTTCACTTGTTCTCATAAGAAACACAAAAGGCTTCTCACATGTAGTATTCTGATCAAAGAGTAATATTTTGTCTCACCTGTAGACCTTCACGTATTTCTGAATAACAACATGGCCAATGGGAACGGAGCTTTGGTACAATTATACAGCAATATCTACAGTACGATACGGGTAGTCCTTGACTTATGGCCATAATTGAGTCCAAAATTTTGGTTATTAAGCAGTTAAGTGAATTTTGCCCCATTTTACAACCTCTCTTGCCACAGTTGTTAAGTGTAATTGTTAAGTTATATAATGGCAGTAATAAAAGTATCCGAACACCAGTTTTGGATACTTTTATTACTGCCACAATATGTGTATACCCGGGATTCTTGTTTTTAATGTTATTAAACACACACACACACACACACACACACACTCCTGACAGTGAGAACAATTAACCAGTGGAACAACCTGCCTCCAGAAGTGGTGAATGTGCCAACACTGGAAGTCTTTAAGAAGAGACTGGACAGTCATTTGTCTGAAATGGTATAGGGTTTCCTGCCTGAGCAGGGGGTTGGATATTATTATTATTATTATTATTATTATTATTATTATTATTATTATTATTATTATTATTATGGATCATCGCACAGTCAGCCAGATGTTCAGACTGGATTTGGCATTTTGTCTACCTATCAAGTCCTTACCTAGGACCTGGGATAGGCAGATATGGATGTTTGATGGTATTACAGATATCGTCGCAGGATGGAAGCAGTTCCTAGGAGTTCAAGTCCACAAGTCATAAAAGAGCCAAGGTTGCCTACCCCTGCTTTAGTAGTATAGCCAAAAGTCATAGCAACCTCAGTTTCTTATGAGACCTGGTGATCTTGCTATCACGTAATGTATGGAAGGGCTTCAAAAGAAGCCCATGTCATGACTCCTCTCCCCACGAAGCCAGCTTTCCTTAAAACCCATGGATCCGAGGAAGAGGATTTACAAAACCAGCTAGAAAACAAATTTCTATTGAACTTTTGCCTCTTCAATCCACAACTATAAATAAACCTGTCTGGTACTAGCAATCTCCTTCCACTCTGGGCCACACCCTCCAAATTCGGAGGTTTAAGTACAGACCTCACCAAATGGGATACATATGCCCAGCAGCCAAACACCGCACCAGCCACAGGAGACTCCTCCAAAGACTTATTTTGAGTTGCCACTTGCTCGCCAGAGGAAACACACCAACACAGTCTCAAGAGTTGGCTCTCAGACCAGAATCTTGTGCCCTTTTGGGGGTTATCTACCCCAAACTGATGCCTTCTGGATGTGTGGATTGGCTTTTCCCCCTCGGCCTGATCCTCAGGCCTGCTTCCCTTTCAGTGAACTACAGCATCCATCACACTTCACTGTATCTAAGGATGATGGACATTATAATCCAAGGCAGGTGTAAGACGCACAGTTGTGGACAGTTATGCTATGGATCTGATGGATTTATTATGATAGAAGTCGACTAAAGTCCACTTAAAAGTCTACAAGATTAGGATCTAGTCTGCCTAAATTTCTGTCAGCCAAAACATTACCTGGGTGAATGAATACATAACATTGTACAAAAATAGCACATAAAATGGTGGGGAAAAAAAGGTAAAGATTTCTCCTGTCAGTCATGTCTGACTCTACCCATAACCTTTAGTTTATTAAAACAACTGCTGGGGTTTACACCGCATTCTGAGGCAGATTGATTAGGTTCACAAAACATACCGAATTATGCCAACCAAATTCTCACCTACCACACCATGGATACATAACCAGCAAAGGGGTTTCTTTCTCCCCACCACAATTAAGCACTAAAAGGTACAGAGAAAGATGCCTGAAAAGTATTTTGATTTTCTCTTTGAACCTAAATTGACAGCCTATCCCAGTGTTTCTCAACTTTGGCAATTTTCTAGACATGTGCCTTCAACTCCCAGAATTCCCCATTCTGCACAGCTGACTGGGAATGCTGGGAGCTGAAGTCCACACATCTTAAAACTGCCAAGGTTGGCTGGTGTACAATAATTCAAATGAAATGGAAGAGAATTCGTAGCCAGTAGAATCATTAGCAAAGCCAGGGAAGGCCAATTCCTGAACAGCTGTTCTCTAATATGGGGGCCACCCAATATGCTGGTAACCAGGTCTGTTTATGGACTCACCTTCTGCTCCCCTTTAAAAGCATGACAGCATCTTCAATAACATCTGAGCGCCAGAAGATTTTGGGGCAAGCAAGGGAAGTGAACTCTGTGCAGCCAGCCGGCAGGTCTGCCTGCTGTATATACAGGCTGTCAAGACAGGAAAACGCTAATCCACACCCTCCTCGGTCTTAACCCCTTCTGAACCATGTTATTCCAACAGTCTGCTTTTGATCCCCTCCGCCCAATGCTTTTCATATTTTTGCCAAAGCCTTTTGTGCTCTCTGGAACAGAAAAACACAGACCTTAAAACAGGTTTCTTTATCAGGAAAGCATGTTTATGCATGTGTGTGTGTGTTTTGATTTTGTATTTCCTGCGCCTATAATTTAGATGCAAGTTTTGCACACTTGGTTAGATTCTGATGGAGCAAAGTGGCCATGCCATCAGCTTGGTACAGCCAAGAATTCACTTGATGGTCTCAGTCTTCCGGTCTGCAATATGGGAATAATAAGAGCAGCCTGCCTTGGCTCTTTAATTATAAAAAGAGCTGTATGCCTTGGTTATTGAAATATTCTGAAGATGTCAAAATGCACTAATTCAGTCCTTTGTAGACTAATTCCAGAGGGTGGCCACAGAAACGGAGACAAAGTGGGATCTCTGATATCTACAAATTTGCCCTTAAGGGTAATAAAAGAAAATACTATGAAGATAAATATAAAGTGTTTTTTTAAATCCCCAGCACTTAAATTAAATCTGAGGATGCTCAGCAGCTGTGGAACATAGCTTACCAGTTTTAAAAAAATAAGGAAATTCATGGAGGATAGAACGGAATAACCTGTAAGTGTTGTTTTGCTGGCTGCTATTGTTAGGTTAGAGAACTGATTGTAATACAGCTGTCTGCTGCTTTTGTTAAATTCTACCTTCAGGAGTGTTCAGGAGCTCACCCAGATGCTTGCAATAGTCATGTTCTCAGTATTTTGAAAATAAAATACACAACACCAAGCCTGAACTTGAAAGCTCCAAATTACATCATTCTTAATGTTGATCAGTGTTTCTCAACTGTAGCAACTTAAGATACGTGGACCCATCCTTCCCCAGTCAACTCCCATCATTCCCCATGGAGCATGCTGGCTAGGGTATTATGGGAATTGAAATCCATACATCTTAAAGTTGCCAAGATTGAGAAACATTCTTGTAATTTAAGGAAGACAATAGGATTTATTCTCAAGGAAGGGAAGTTGCAGTTGATTAAGGGCACTTCCACTCACCCCAAATCAAGACACACATCAGCCCCTGCTGGTTGTGATTGTGACTAACCTCCCCCCCAGGCTCCCCAAGGACTCTCTCCAGTCAACCAATGACAGAACCCAAAAAATGAACTTGATCCAGCACCCCACTCCTGTCCATATGGTTATCTACAGTGGGTTATCCGTGGAATCACTATGGGGCAGGCTGACAAATTATCATGATGCAACCAGCCAAAGAGATGACTTTGGAGAAGCTATGCCACAAGGAAGCTTACTTACTAACTTACCAACTTACCTGTTTATTTCCTGCCTTATTTTCATAAATAAGGCGGTGAACCTATGTAACACTCTTCTCTTCCTATTCTCCCCACAATAACCCTGTGAGGTTATATTGATTGATGTGTGACTTGTATTTGTATTGGTTTTAATCTGGTTTCAATTTGATTTTAATAGGGTTATACTTTTTATTGACATCTGTATTTCATTAGTGGGGTTGGCATGATTTTTTTAATTCTATGTGTTGTCCAGAGTCACCAATGTGACGTGGGTGGCTGTACAATCAAAACAGATCAATAAATAAAAACATGGACAATGAAAGAAGCATGAAAAAGAAACTCCATCTTAACTCCCTGGGATGCAAGAAGCAGGGAGGGGAAAATGCAATCAGGATTTCAAGATTCTGAATCTCAATAAGGAAGTGTTCCAGTCATTCTCCTGAAGTTTGTTTCCTAACTAGTTCCACTTCCAAAGTACCACCACCCCAGTCCCTACAAAGCTGCCTGTATTCAGAAGACAGTGCAGGCAGTCCTTGTGAAGCAAGGTGTTGAGACTCTACAAAGAGTTCAGAGAAGAGCAACAAAGATGATTAGGGGATTGGAGGCTAAAACATATAAGGAACGGTTGCTGGAATTGGGTATGAAGAGAAGGTGACATGATAGCAGTGTTCATATATCTCAGGGGCTGCCCCAAAGAAGAGGGAGTCAAGCTATTCTCCAAAGCGCCTGAAGGCAGGACAAGAAGCAACGGATGGAAACTAATCAAAGAGAGAAGCAACCTAGAACTAAGGAGAAACTTCCTGACAGTGAGCACAATTAACCAGTGGAACAACCTGCCTCCAGAAGAGGTGAATGCTCCAACACTGGAAGTTTTTAAGAAGAGGCTGGATAGCCATTTGTCTGAAATGGTATAGGGTTTCCTGCCTGAGAAGGGGGTTGGACTAGATGACCTCCAAGGTCCCTTCCAACATCATCATCATCATCATCATTATTATTATTATTATTATTATTATTATCATCATCATTATTATCATTATTATTATTATAATATAAGGTGGTTTTTAAGCAAGTCACACCTGTTTTTACCATCCTTTTTTGGCTACAGTTGTTAAATGAATCACTGCAGTTGTTAATCATACAGTCATTAAGTAAATCCAATTTCCCCCATTGACTTTGCTTGTCATAAGTCAGCTGGGAAGGCTGCAAATGATGATTACATGATCCCCAGATTCTGTAGCCGTCATGCTGGTTGCCAATTGCCCAAATGTTGATCACGTGACCGTGAGGATGCTGCAATGCTTCTAAGTGAGAAGAACTTATTAAAAGTGTAAGTCACTTTTTTCAGTGCCTTTGTAACTTTGAACAGTCGCTAAACAAATGGTTATAAGTCAAGAATTACCCCCCCCCCCAAAAAAGCCCAATTTGTTGATGGAGATTATGGGGGTTGAGTGTGGGAAACTCCCATCAATGAGAAAACAACACAATCCAGGCTTCAGGAAGTTCCAGGTTCTCATGCTGAAAACTGGCATTTTTAAAAACTTTTTTAAAACTTCATCTAGAATTGAACTAGAATCAGGTTACAGCCCAGTCTTGACCACTACCTTGGGCAACTGATTTTGAGAGTCATGGTGAAGGAGCAGTTTTATTAATTATTCCATTTGTTATTCTCCTAGTTTTTCTTCCAGGAAAGAAGAAGGCACTGCCTAGGTCATGGATAGGCAACCTTGGCTCTTTTATGACTGGTGGACTTCAACTCCCAGAATTCCTGAGCCAGCATAGCTCAGCATGGAAACCTCTCCCTTTCCCCTCAGCATGGCTGGCTCAGGAATTCTAGGAGTTGAAGTCCACCAGTCATAAAAGAGCCAAGGTTGCCTACCCCTGGCCTAGGTAGTTTTTTTTCTTTCTTTCTTGTCTCAAAGGCCAAAATAATATGGTTACATTTGAGCATGATGTAGCTTGTATGTTAGTAAGGGTACAGAATTTTAGTCCTCAAAACTGGCACTGGGGGAAAAGACATTTGGGCAAAGGTTAAGTAACAAAATAGGCTTAATGCTAAGGGACCCAACCATTGGGAATTTGGACAAGGAAAAAAATAGATCACTGCTGTTATTTAATTTTAACATGTTTAAAAAAAGCACAAACATGGGGAGAAAATCAAAACACAAAAAGGAACAACAATACAAAGAACAAAAAAAGTTTACAAACTATCAATACATACCACTACTCATTGTTGACTCCTGACCACTGTGTGGATTAGTCCCTGTGGTTTTTTTTTGTTAAGATAACTGCATGAAGTGGTTTGCCATTGCCTTCTTCCAAGGGCTGAGAGAATGACTGACCCAAGACATCCAGCTTGCTTTGTGCCTAAGGCAGCTATAATTCATGATCTGTAGCCTGGGGCTTTAACCACTACACCAAAATGGAGTACAACAAACTATTCCATATTTTAAAATTTCTATTTATGGAACTTTCCTGCAATAACAGGATCATGGAATGAATGGTTTGCTGCAGATTATCTAGTAGTCTAAGCTCTGCTCAGTTTAGAAAATGCAAATCTGGGGCTACATCAACAGAAGACTATCTACTTTGATTTGAAGACCTCTTGTGTTCATGAAACCCATGAATTTACTTAATGTCTTTGATTTCTAAGGAGATCAACCCACCATATCAAGGCACTTCCATACCCCTCAAAAGTACTTTGATATAAAGATCCAAGAATGAGAAGCAAAAGATTTTCAAGGAAAAGCCCAAGAAAATCCAGTGACCTTTTGAAAAGCACCTTTGGGACAATCATGACCTGGATGACTGAGAATCTCCATAGACAAGGTCTACTTACTTGGATAGGTGGGGGATATTATTGGTTAATTCTGTCCAGCTGGTCAATATGAAAGTGCAAAGAACAACATTCAGACAATACCCTGCCCCGATATGCTATAGCAGTGGTGACGAACCTATGGCACGGGTGCCAGAGGCGGCACTCAGAGCCCTCTCTGTGGGCATGCGCGCCGTCGCCCCAGTCCTAGGCCTTCAGCTGGTTTTTATAAAACCTTTTCGCTTTAGACCTCCAGTGCCATGTGCAAAAAAAAAAAAAAAGGTTCAATCAATCAGTCAATTTCAACTTCTTGCAGGAAAAAAAATCTTCCGAAGTTGGAATTGATTCATTGAACTTTTTAGTCCCACCCAGTCTGCCGTTACCACCGCAGCCACGCCCAGCCAATGGGCCACACCCACCTGGCTCCCGATGATGCATAAGTGTGTTTTGGGTTGCAGTTTGGGCCCTCGGTCTCTAAAAGGTTCGCCATCACTGTACTACAGTTTTAATTCCTGTTGTGTGTCTGCTTGATGATTTCCTCAAATAACAATCAATCGCTATGAGGAGATGATGCAAAGCTGCCAAGGCACCATTTCTTCCTTGCATTTAAAAAGGACAGCTGAATTTCTATCAGGGAGAAATGAAAAGAGCCAGATGGTAGGTTGAGGCAAGTGTTCCCACCACCAGGAGAACAGTGTTCACAACATCTACAGCAGGGGTCCTCAACCTTGGCAACTTTAAGACTTGTGGACTTCAATTCACAGAATTCCTCAGCCAGCTTTGAAGTCCACATGTCTTAAAGTTGCCAAGGTTGAGGACCCCTACTCTACAGAAATGCAATATTTCAAGCTGAAAAACCAAATT